GGGCCTCATAAGTTGTTTTTTAGAGACCATGTTGTGGCACAATATTCTGGTTTTAAGAGAATTAACTTAGATGAAGACCTGTTGCACTCGATTCATCTGATGGATCCAAAAATGAAGAGTCGGGTTGTCATCTACAGGATAGGGCAACATGAGTGTGATCCACTTCTAGGAGCTTCTAAACCAAAAAGGCCAGTTTACGTAGATGAAGGTGAAGATGATCCTGATGATGCAGACTACGAACCTGAAAGTGACTTTGATTTGTCTAATTCTAATGATGAAAGGGTTAAGAAGTTGGTCAATGACTGTATGAGGGGTTCTTGTTGGGCAGCATTAAAGAGCACTGAGTTTGTGCGATATGGACATTACCTGGGCGGTTCTGATGCGGAATCTGAATCTGACTATGCTTCATGTGATGAACTTCATGAAAGGAATCTTTCAGCCGATGATGGACAGGAAGTGGAGAAGAAATACAGGGAGTTTAAACCTCACAGAGAGATAAGCAATCCTATGTTTGATATTGAGCAAAGATTTGGTAACAAGTGGATAATGTGGAAGACCATCAGAACTCATGCTATTGTTGACAGAAGGGCTATTAGGTTTCAGAAGAATGATAAACATTTTGTAAAGGCAATTTGTGCACCTGGCTGCAACTGGGAGGTTTATGGATTGAAGTTAGAAGATGTAGATACATTTGAGGTGAGGAATATTAATACCAAGTATACTTGTTCAAAAATATGGGAGAAGTTTAAGAACTGTAACTCAAACATTATATATGATTGGTTTGTTGCTGATTTTGCTAATGATCCTATAATGAGTGTGGAAACTTTGCAATTTCGCTGTCTTAATGAGAAGAAGATAACCATATCTAGGACTCAGGCATGAAGGGCTAAAAACAAGGCATTGTTGAAAGTTAGAGGGAAAATTGAGGAGCAGTATGCCCAGTTGAAAGGTTACATTAAAGCAACCAAGAAGGCTAACCCTGGGACTACATTTGAATTGATAAAGGATCTTGAAAAACATGATATATTTAAGAGGTTGTACTTGTGCTATGAGGCAAGCAAGAGAGGCTTCAAAGAAGGCTGCAGGAACATTATAGGACTGGACGAAACATTTCTGAAACTAGTTGTTTGGGGGATATTATTCACAGCTGTAGGATTCAATGCTAACAACAATATGTTTCCAGTTGCCTTTGCAGTTGTTCAAATTGAATGTAAGGATTCCTGGGAGTGGTTCTTGAACTACTTAGTTAAAGATTTAGAAATTGCCCACACTCCTGAATGGATAATCATATCCGACAGGCAGAAGGAAATTTTTTTCCTTTTTCAATTATAAATTTGGTATTTTTTGTATTTGTAATGTGTATCTAAATTACTTTCCTTTGTGAGTGGGATTGATTGTAGTGTTATTATTTTATGCAGGGTTTATTACCAGCTGTGAAATATAAACTCAGTAGGGTTTCACACAGGTATTGTGTGGATCACTTGCGGTCAAATTTCAAGAGGAATCATCCTGGACTTCTCTTGAAACAGAGAATGTTTGAAAATTGCAAAAGCAAGTTATGTAGAAGAGCGTGATGAACTGATGGCTGATTAGAAACATTTTGATGAATCTGCATGGGCATGGTTGGATGGTGAGGATGTTGTTCATTGGTGTAGGTCACACTTCCCCACAGTAACTAAAAATGACAGCATCACTAACAATGTTAGTGAGGATTCCAATAGAGCAATTCTGCCTGGTAGAGAATATCCAATCATGGAATGCTTGAGTGGCTTCGGGTATACCTAAATGCAAGAGCACAGAAGAAAAGAGAGTGGCTGGCTAAAAATGATTGCATCGTAGGTCCAAAAATAAGGAAAAGGTTGGAAACTTTAGCTGAGATTGTTGATGGATATAGAGTGATTCATTGTGGTGGTCCATTGTTTGAAGTGAGGTCCATTCATATTGGTGACCAGTTTGTGATTAACCTTTGAGAGAAGACATGTGCTTGTAGGAAATGACAATTGACTGGATTGCCATGCTCACATCGGATAGCTGGCATTGTTGAGAATGGGGATAAGGTTGAAACATTTGTGGATAAGTGTCACTCCAAGGAAATGTATGAGAAGGCATATGTATATACTATTGTTCCTGTAAATGGCAAAAAGTTTTGGCCAAAATCAGTGGTCCTGTATTGAAACCCCCTGAATTCAAAATAAAGATTAAAAGACCAAAAGGCAGTCGGAACAAGGACAATGATGAGCCGTTGAGAAGAAACAAGAAAAGGTCATTAAAGGCAAGTCGGAAAAGGGGAAAAGGGGTTAACAAATGTAGTCACTGTAGAGGTGATCATACAAAGAGAAACTGTCCAGAATTTATTGCACTTCAAAATGATGGCCAAAATCAGGTATGCGTATTAAGTATGGATTGTTTCAATTATATGTATTGAATCATGCAGTTTTTTCTACTTAACATATTATTTTATTTTCATGAACTAGGGTCAAAGACCAGTGCAAAACACCAATCCACCTGCACTAAAATGGAAAGGCAGACCACCAAAGTATAAGCCTCAGGTATATTTTCAGATTAGGGTTTACAGTAAAGTGCTTGAGTCTGATCATAACTAACTTAATGTAAATGGATCACAAGATACAAGTGAAGGCATCAGTAATCATGTACCAACTGCAACACAGTCACAGCCTAAGAAGCGGGGCAGAAAACCAACTGCACAGTCTCGATGTTTCAAATGCAACGGGACTGGACACTTTCCAGCGATGTGTTCATATGTGGCTTTAAAAGTTGTAGATGCTGGTGAAGTGCCTGTGAACTGAAATTTATTGCAATGTGACTATTGCAAATTACTAAACCACACTATCGACAATTGTCCAGTCATTGAAGCTGAAGAGTTTGTGAAGCATCCTGAAAATATAGTTGAGGTAAAGTTTCGATTAATGATTACTGAGACACACGTGTTAGTTTCTTCAGATTTAGTAACCATTGCTTCAATTTTGAATTGCTTAACTTTTCAGATTTTTAGTACCCTAAGTGCACAGGCTGCAAGTCAACGTTGTTGATATTATGAATCCCCTTATGATGGTTACATGCATGAATGATGTGACTATTGTGGAAGCAGTGGGGACAATTGTCCTATTTTTGATCTTCAATATGATTAATGTGGTTACTTTGGACACTCTAGAAATCAATGTGTTGAATTAGAGGTAAGTTATTGAATTTGTATAATTATTTCATATAAAAGTGACTGTCCAACTTAGGGTTTTCATAAGTATTAATAGAACCCTTCATCACGTTTCAGACTGATCTGGATGCTGGCACACACAAATATGCTCGTGTTCCTGTGAATTCTGCTTCTCAGAGACAAGGAGTACCAGCTGGGAATGGTGGAGTTGCTGTAAATGCTGATAATGGAGTTGATGTAAATGCTGGTGATTGAGTAGCATCAGCCAATTCTGTTGACCAGGCAGAAACACGGCCAGCAGCAAATTCTGATGGTGGTCAGCCACCTAATGATGAGGTTAGTTTCTGATTTGAAACTAATCTTTGTACATTAGTTGATGGAATAAAATATGTTTTTGTTACTTTAGTTGATAGTTGATGCAACTATGTTGTAGAACAATACAAGTGCACCAACCAATAGAAAACGCCAAAAACCTCCACAAAGTCAGCCCCCACAACCCCAAGGAGAGCTAGTGTAAGGCTTAAGAAGCTAATGACTGACGGAAATGGGAAGTCACCTAAGAAGGACCTTCTAATCTTGACTGAAGAAGAAGCTGAAACCTGCTTGAAGAAGAAGGCAAAAACATTCCATGGCGTTGATCTCGTCTTAGAGATTAGAGGGTGGTTAATTATTTAAGCTTTTTGCTGAACTTTCGATATGGTTGTATGCTGGATTTATTTTCAGATTTATATATTTTGGACACCAATAGATCAGCATAGTATGATGGTGTAGTATTTTGTTACTTTTTCTCTGTCAGGTTGTTGCTACCCTAAGGTTCAATGCTTAATACTTTGTTCACTCTTACGTTGCTTTTTGTGGCTTATGACCAGAGCGAATCCACAAGGTTCATTGGAATTCATTCCTGAGATTGAAAAAGAAGCTCGACAAGCTTGCCAGGTGGTTTGAAGGTGATCAGAAGATGGAGTTCCTATGACACCAGAGTTCGCCCAATTTGCCATAGCAGCAGGGACGTGAAAGGCAAACGAAAAAGATCAAACAAAGAAGGAAAAAAAAAAAATTTTGTGTGTTCGGGGAGAGGGGAAACAGCAAACACGAGCAGCAGCAGCAACTAACGGCAGTAGCAGCAAGAGAGAAGAAGCTGGCAGCCGTTCAGTAGCAATCAATAGCTACGGAAGCAGCAAGACAGCGGGGCTGGTTTCGGAACAAGGAAACTGATCAAACTAACAAACAGAAGCAATCATGGAGGGAAATTCCAACGGGAAACCAAAGCAACAAGGAGCAACAGCGGTAGAAGATGGCGGCGGCAGGAATACAACAATGGATGTCGATGGAGATAGTGAGAAAGGAGAAGAAGTTTAAGCAGCAGCAACAATATAAGAAGAAGCTTCGATCGGCAGCGGCAACAATAGTTGGTGAAGCGAGAGGTGGCCGAGAAACAAGAAAAACAAGAAGCCGACAAAAGAAGTGAGCGACGGAAGAAGAAAAAAAACCTAATTAAAAATTGACGGCCCAGGAAAGAGGGCTGATACCATGAAAGAATATTTTTCGTGTCTTATTACGTGTGTACAACATCATATATATAGTACAATATTAAAATAACCCTAGCCGTGAATATCGGAAACCCTAATTAGGGTTTAGGGTTTCCGTATTTATATATTCTATCAACAATCTCAAAGTCGAATTTGACGAAAATGGATTCTTTAAATTACAAAGTTTTGATGCATCGATCAAGCACAAGGGGATCAGATAGCAACATGGTGTCTTTTCTTTCTTTCTTTCTTTTTTTTTAATGCTGCCCTTTTAGATTAAGGATATCATTTTAATTCCGTCAACTCATTGCCCGTTTAAATATTGACTGACTATCTTTCGGGGCGTCCCTTATCACCCGATAGATAATGTAGACAGTTTTCCGGATAACTTTGAACGAATCTCCACACAACGAGTACTCGTGCATGTACCAGTGTCCTTTGCCAACAGCCACCGATTTGTCGCCACCGTCGGAGTTGTCGATGATGTATTTGAACTCCTTCATGGATCCGATATGGTTCTTGTTACCTCCACCGCACCCCTTAAAAGCCTTAAGTTCAGTTTGGCTGTCCCACGTCCCGATTCCTGCTTTTCTTGAAATCTTCTTCGCACTCGTCTTGGATAGCTTTGTGATCACGTAAGGAACCCTCCTCGTATCGGCCGGATTAGCGTTGTATAATTCCCATTTGTTTTCATCAACGTCCGAGAAGACCTTCCAGGTCCCGGGTGCGCACCGTATAAATCCTTCTCAAACACATCCTTCGTATAAATCGAGATGTCATGCTTCAAAGCCTTTCCCCAGAGAAGCCAAATAAGAATAGGCTTGAAACGTATCCCCGTCGCAACTCCGTGCGTTTCTTCTTGATAAGCAGCCATATCAACTACAACGTCTATACTATTATTAAGTTGACGAATAAAAAGTATGACTGATGATGATTTCTTTCACCTGAAGATTATATATAGGGTGTTCTGGTACTATATATTTATAATAGAAGCTAAGACGGTGATGATATTTAGGTAAAGGTGACATTTAACAATATAGTTACGCAATAAATTGTTGTCGTACTTTTCATGCAAGGAACCGAGTGTTATAAATTTTGTGCACTATGCAAAACTATTTTATACCAAAAACGGATAAATAAACTGAGGTGCCATGATATTAATTTACCTAATTATAAAGACTGCAGTAAAAGGTTGAAAGTGATAGTAAATTATGATGGGCATATAAAACATGTCGAGGCGGCTTTTATTGGACAACACTATCTTAACCGAGAGAATTTTATGTCTCCTAGATTTATGGACGGTAGATTTTTGGATTCCCAAAAAATTCTGCGTTGCTTATTTTCATGCAAGAAACTCAATATTAATATCAATAAGTTGCGTAAACATCACAAAAGAAAAATATCTGAACTTGTGTCTATTTTACATAGATTCCTAGTTCCTTTTAAAATAGACAATCGTTGGCAGTTAAGCTTCAAATATAACGTTCTCGTCATTCCAAAATCAATGTCTTGTTATACAACAAACAAAATTATTGTTTTAATGGAAGGAATATTACTTATCTTCAAAGACTAAACGCGGATAATACATGTCCCTTTAATTAATTTTAATCATCGCTTGAGGTCTCTCTACCATTATTAGCTAAAGTTTTCTCTGAAAACATTAGTATTCTTTAATTGTTTTTGGTTTGAATGAAAGAATTCTCTACCCACAACTTTCTAAAAAATGAAAAGGAGACGCCGTGTTTGTAATGATTGAGGGTTTTGCTGGTTATTTGATACCTTTGGATCATTATTAAAGCCAGATAAATAGGTTAAGTAAATTTTCTTCTCCTACCCCCATCAAATATTAAATATATATTGTAGAAGTCTAAAGGATTGATGGAGAGAAACTAAAAGCGTCTATATTTTATTCTCAAAGGACGGTATAAATTGTTCGGTGAAGAAGGGTACGATGCTTTGAATTCTTTATTTAAAGCTGTCATTTATTAACTAAGTTACTTCTAATCCTCCATCCTTGTTGGTAGGAGAAAGATTATCCTTGTTTGGAGCTTTTAAAGAAATGATTAACAAAACTTTCATTATCAAATTACTTATATACTAATTTTTCCATTCGAAAATGATTATTGTATTTTTTTTTAATGTGATTATTGTATCGATTACAACAAACTCCCTGTCATGTAAGAATGGAAAAAATATGGTCCAGAGTTGGGTGCTTATGTTGGGATGTGGATAGGTATGACTTTATGAATTATTCCTATTCGGTACGGCAATCATGAGTACTGGTATCAAACATACCAAACAACAAGCCTCCTACCCATACTCTGATAATCTCGAAAGAAAAAAAAGATATTGGAAATTACTGGCTCCACGAAGGGTCTTATTCGAAGTCCTAACAAACAAAAGATTTGGTATGTAGTATGGCAATTAAGTTGCAAGCTGTGTTTTTTGCATGCGGACGTATTTCTGATTCTGACTGCCCAACTTATGACCTTTGTCGTTGAACTATACTAATATATAAAATGCATGGACTTGTTGTGTGTATTCGCTCACTTATTGTACATTATTTTACGTAGAAAATGATATTTAAAAAAAAAAAAATCAATCCCAGTAGACCCTACTTAAATACGAGTAAAAACTCCCTTATAATCTCTGGTAAAAATTGAATTATCAGGAAGAATAGCAATCTAACCACTAGACTGTCATTCAATTCCCTACGTAGAAAATGATATTCTAAGTGAAAAAAGGTAAAAATCATAATAAAGTTTTATAGCGTCGTAAATTTTTTAGAGGATTTTAACAGTATATTCTATCTTTGAACTTATAATACTATCTCCGGTTCTTATTATAAGGCATTTTGATTTCGTTCTAGGTTTCACCTAAGATGTTATTTTAATTGAAATAAATACCTTAAAAATATTTCATAATAATTAGAAGAATACAACGAATGCGAAAATATATTTTTAAGATTTTTTTCTAATTAAAAATATAAATTCTAAGTTAACTTAGAACAAAATCAAAATGCCTTATAATAACGACCGGAGAAAGTATATTCTAAGATTTCCTCCGGTAAAATGGTAACAAGTACTCATCTTGAACCTTTTGTTGTCCTCATTTCCAGAGATTATAGTCCTACACAGAAAAAATCAAGAAAGAGGTTAAAACTTCAAATTCCCAAGTTAGGTGACAATTGTCGTATTGTGTTGTGGGTGGCGTGGACCCTTGAGTTTTGAATGGAGTTTGGGGCTTACTTCTTGCTGTTTTTGTGTAGAGTTGGGCTCACTAGGATTTTCAAACAGCGGAATTTTTTTTAAAAAATGAATTGGGTCAGAACTCAGAAACGGGGGACCTTGAAAAGATAGTAGAGGGTCGCCCCGGACCGGCACAAAATTCAAAATTGCTGAATGGAGGAATAATCATTTGGGAATAGGGAAAGAGCTACGTGTCCAGTTTAACATCATTGTTATCAGATGAGCTGGCAAGCTTAGCTGGCGGCCGCATTGAGAGACGTGAAATTACGCATTGCATTGATCCTTGATAATTGCAAAAAATAAGCACATATTTTTCTTACTCGGATCATTGTTACAAAATATTTTGATTTGTCATAAGTTTGTTATAAATTTAATTTAAAATTATTTTTTTAATTAAAATAAAAACCTTAAAAAATATTTTCTAATATTTAGAAGAATACACGAAAGGAGTATTACAAAACCTCGTGAGTTGAAACTTTGATGACACCACCTTGAGAAAACATTCGAAGGCAAAGGTATGAAATGATTTGCTATCATTTTTCTTTTGGTACTATACTTACTATCATTTCTGATAGCAAATAACCAAAGTAATGTTTGAATTTACTACAAGAATATTGTTAATTTACCCACATACGTTCATAGATAGTTTTGGAATGATTTTACGACCAAAGGCAGGTATGAAAATTTCATGTGCTTTTGAAATCATCCTAGCTTATTAAAAAAGCAAATGAAGTGAATAGTACTATGTCTTATCGTCTATTAAGGGCAATTTAAAAATAAAACTACCAACACTTGTTTGGCCAAATTAGTAAGGTGATTTGATTCACTTAAACAAGGTCTCGGGTTCGAGTCTCGTGAATGGAAAAAGTGATGTTGGGAGAGATTTCCCTCCGAAAAGAAACCGGTCCGACTCGGTACGGATTAATCTAAGTGTAATATACTTAGGACATCATGTGCAGTATGAAAATAAAAAATAAAATAAATAAAACTGAGTATTAGTATGAAAGAAAATATTTAGAATTCAGGTGTAAGGATTGGAGGAAAATCTCTATCTACTCATGCAGACTTGGGTTATTATTATTTTTAAACTCACCTTTGTAGGCTATATATATATATATATGTGTATATATATATAGATAGAAAATTGCTTTCCACAATTCAAATAAAATTCGATCTCTAAATTTGTAAGAGATTTATGTAAGAAATTTTTCTTCTTTTTTCTTTTTTTTTTTATAGTAGATGCAATATATATATATAGAAAATTGCTTTCCACAATTCAAATAAAATTCGATCTCTAAATTTGTAAAGATTTATGTAAGAAATTTTTCTTCTTTTTTCTTTTTTTTTATAGTAGATGCAAAAACTTCCTTTTTACAACACTAAAATCTCATTCCCGTATGTAGCATTGAATAATGTCACATCCTTCTTACTTTAGACAATGCCAATAAAAATCTTACACATTCTTCATTCATCTCCACAGATTCATAAGAGTACAATATCCTTATTCAAGGATGGGTACTTTGTACCAACAACATGTTGGCGGATAAGAGTCAATCATCCACATTGAAGTGTTAGATAGGATCCTCATTTAGGTGTGTACTCTAAAAAGTTAGACTCCAAAATATCAGGGGGAATTGAGAAAGAAAGGGACCGTTGATTTTGGTATATACACGCATTTTACAGGCGCGGCATTGGCTGCGGGGACATTCATAGAGACCCCCTTGGCATTTATCTTAGTCGATGGTAGACCATTAGACGATGAGACCTACATCAAGAAAAAATATCACGTCATTCCCCCCTAGGCATTTAAGAAATAATTTATCATGAGGACGACTTTTTTTAAGTAATAAATCTATCAAGAAAAAAATATCATGTCATTCCCCTAGGCATTTAAGAAATAATTTATCATGAGGATGACTTTTTAGTAAATCCATCACATTACTTTAAACCAAAACGGAATTTACAACAAAAATATCAAAACAATGATGAAAATTATACTTTCGAAGTTAACAACTATATAAAATAATTTAATTTCTTTTTCTACCGTTACATATTTAGCCTCCTTGTCGATAACACATATTATGTTATGTACTAAGCAAAAATAAAATAAAAACTGGAATACTAATGTATAATGTCCTTGGAGTACATATAGTCCGATAATGGGATTAAAATTTAAAAGAGCATGCATATAAAAAGGCCATATTAAAGCAAGAGCCCACATGTTTGACCTTGACACAGTTGACTTTGAAATAAGAAGATTCATTTCATCTCTCTCATTTTTCAGGGGCCTTCGTGAGTTCGTTCAGTTCGAGTTCGCTGAATTAGGGTGAGTAAGTACTGTATGTGATGTTAGTTACTCGTATGACTCTACTCCCCGAGTCATCACCTCCTTGCCACTCCATGTCTTTCTTTTCAAAGACATCAACTTGAGATTTTTTCATATAATCTTCTCATCTCGCATACTCGCACTACAATAAATAAGTTAATAATTCATTTTAAACAGAACAAATATATTCAACTTCGTCCAGTCCTATTTAATTTATAAAACATTTTGATTTTTCCTTGTATTTTCACATTTATTGTGGTTTAGCCCCCAATTTTTATAAAATATTTTTAATATTTTATTTTCTGATAAAAAAACACAATAAATGAAACTTAATGACAAATGATAATACTTTATAATCAGGACCGGCGGGAGTAATCTATATGGACGAATTTATCTAACAAATTAAGTGGACGTTGCCAGTAGTATGTAGGAGAATAGATAATCTATTTTGATATTTTTATGTCATTCTTGCAGCTTAGTAACATAATATATTATCTAAATGCTAAAAGCCTAAAACATTGCTTCCACATATATAAAAAATGGAAATGCAACGGATGCAGAAAACTAAAATTGCATTTGATTCTCCGGCTTATGAATGAGTGAATATGCTGTGAAATTGAGCTGACGACCCATTGATTAAAGATCTTTTACAACCTATCATGAATGCGGTATGTGTCGTTAATTTCCATATCTTCCATTTAGATAGGAATAGAATTAGATATATGAATTTCTGTTGTAATAAATAAAAATTTGTATTCATAGTCTTCTTCTTTTTCTTTTTTCTTTTTTTTTTCTCTATTGAAAAAACAGTTAGAGAATTTGTAGAACATCCTTGTAATACATTTTGTTAGCATAGTTTGTTTAAAGTAATACTGTCATGGTATTTTACTGTCTCTTTTATTAGGGTAAGGTTTAATCTCATTGCCAATGCCAATTTTTTTTAATTAAAAAAAAATCTGGAAATCCCCACCAAATACCGCTCTTGATCCTTTTTAAAAAATGTGTCATTAATTTTAAATCATAAGTCTAAATTTTAGGCTTTGTTTTAATCATTATAAAAGAAAGAAAATTCGAAATAGCAGTCTTATTTGGATAATCCCACAACGTAATAGTACAATGTGATTGTTACCGGACAATATGATCAAAGTGACATGGAGTACTACTAGTTAATGACCCTATAAACTGGCATTTAACATTCGGTCATCAAAGGGTTGCTGATTATTTATCTACTTAGATGATATTACTTCTGTCAAAAAATTCAGTCCAATTCGGATTTCACTTTTAGTACGATTTAAATTAAAAATAAAAATTAAACTGTATAATAATTTTGAGACGGAAGAGTACGAAACACGCAAAAAGAATCGAAACTTTGAAGAAGAAGAAATGGGGATTCAATCTAATCATAAAGAATGTTCTAAGAGTAACGTGTAAAAAGGTCTATTATATTTGAAGTTCTGGCAGTCATCACTCATCATCATAGTTGGACTCAGAAGTCTGTGTCATGCGCCAAAGTGGCATTTGACATTTTAATAACTATAATGGGATAAACTTTGATGTAGTTTAATACTCTAAACAAGGATCCTTATCTGTGGTTGAACATGGTTTTTACTTCAATCAGTTAAGCGCCCCTCTTTCCCTTTTGCTTGGTTTTTTAGTTCACCACTTGCTTTATCGAATGTAGTTGAAAACAAAGATTCCTATCAAAGCTTTGTGCCACTTGATGCACCACTCAAAAACCACTTTGTATGTTGTGTTAATGATGTGCTTTTATCCAAATTTTGAAATTGCCTAATCTGTCAAACCTATAACATATATTCATTGATTATTGAAAAACTAACGTAACACGTTGACATTTGCAAAATTGAAAAAGTTACAGTAATATTTTTAGTACTTCGTCCAAAATTTTGGTATCAACTCTCAAGTTGATGATAGCAACGGAAAAGAAAAGAGCAATAATTTTCCTTTCTAGTCAAACAAAGTGGAGTAGATTAGCAGCTTCCAGAAGTTTTTCATATGTGATGATGGTTCAGAGAAATGTTCTCAAACTTTTGCCATACTCAAACCCATTAAAAAAAGAAGAAGAGTTTTTTTTTTTTTAATCTTTTTTTTCCCTATTGATTATGGAGACATGCAACAACTAAATACTACATATTCTTTGATGGTTTGACCAAATTTCAAGAAATGGTATAGATGATGGTGTAAATTGGTCCTTTTTTAGTTTCGATTTCAAAGTAATCAATTCGTACCCATATAAAGTCTGTGTTAGGGATAAGAGCAAATCACAGTAAATATATCGAAATGAAGATTGAAGCAGCCACCAATCCCAAAAATCCTTATGTATGCCAGCCAAGCTTTTTCACAAGAAACTTCGTCCCTTCTTAAACCTCCCTTTAAATTCAGAAACACCTTACATCAAATCAAATCACACCTTCATTATCGAAAAAAAAAAAAACCATTAAATCCCACCACACACACTCACACACTGGCCTTGTATACATATATATCGAACACACACGTTCACATAGTTCAAAAGATTGAGAATAAACTCTCTCTATTTGCTCTGTTTTTTCTTCAACAATGGGTTCCCCTGTTTTCCTCATCGCCATCACGATTACATTCACAATTCTCCACCTTTCTTCTTCAACATCTTCGGTTTTGGTCTTCCCATTGACGCACTCCCTTTCGAATTCCCGTTATTCCACTCCGTCCCACCTCCTGAAATCCACTTCCACCAACTCCGCCGCCCGTTTCCGCCGCCACCGCCAGGTCTCCCTCCCCTTGAACCCCGGCAGCGACTACACCTTGTCGTTCACCCTGGGTTCACAGACTATATCACTCTATATGGACACCGGGAGCGACGTCGTTTGGCTCCCCTGCCACCCTTTTGAATGCATGCTCTGTGAAGGCAAATATAATCCCGCCGCCATCCCAAACGCCGGCCCGCTCAACCTCACGTCTGCCAAGCCGGTCACGTGCAAGTCACCTGCTTGCTCCGCTGTTCATTCTTCCTTGCCTTCCTCCGACCTCTGTGCTATAGCTAATTGTCCGTTGGATGAGCTCGAAACTTCGGATTGCAGGAAATTCTCTTGCCCTGCTTTTTACTATGCTTATGGCGATGGAAGCTTGATAGCTAAGCTTTATCAAGATAATTTATCTCTGTCTCTTTCTTCGCCGGATTTCGTATTAAAGGACTTTACTTTCGGTTGTGCTCACACGGCGTTGGGAGAGCCGATTGGGGTCGCCGGATTCGGCCGTGGAGCTCTTTCCATGCCGGCTCAGCTCGCCCGGTCGTCCCCTGAAATTGGGAATTATTTTTCCTACTGTTTAGTTTCGCATTCTTTCGATGATAATCGGGTTCGGATACAGAGTCCGCTCATTCTGGGTCGGTATAAATCGGCCGGCGAGAATAAAGAAAAACAGTCCGGCGAGAACCAAATCGGCGGCGACGGGTACGTTTACACTCCGATGCTCAAAAACAAGAAGCATCCGTATTTCTACTATGTCGGGCTTGATGGGGTTTCGGTCGGCAGGAAGAGAATTCCGGCGCCGGAGAGTTTGCAGAGGATCGACGGGAAAGGAAACGGCGGAATGGTGGTGGATTCGGGGACTACCTATACTATGCTGCCGCCGGAGTTTTACAACTCCGTTGTGACGGAGTTTGGAAAGCGGGTGGGTTCTGTGTATAAGCGGGCCGGTGAGGTGGAGGACCGGACCGGGCTCGGGCCGTGTTATTACATGACCGGAGGCGGCGATAAAGCGGCAGCGGGGGTGGTGCCGCCTCTGTTATGGCATTTTGCCGGGAATTCCAGTGTGGTGATGCCCAGGAGGAATTATTTCTATGAGTTTTTGGACGGTGGAGATGACGGGAAGGTGAAAAGGAAAGTTGGGTGTTTGATGTTGATGAACGGTGGAGATGTGGGAGAATCTAGTGGGCCCGCTGGGTTGCTGGGGAATTATCAACAACAGGGGTTTGAAGTTGTTTATGACTTGGAAAAAGGGAGGGTTGGATTTGCAAGACGGAAGTGCGCATCTTTGTGGAAAAACTTGAACTAGAATTGCTAACGTGCGCTTTTCTTTTTTGGGGGGGTTGAAAATAAAGTCAACTTTTGGGGAGTTGACTCCGAAGAAGGCTGCATTTCTTGCTTCTATGATTCTTCATTTTCTTTGTATAGTTTGTATTACTGTATTTGTTTATTTGTACATATCACAATGGCAGCGGAGTGAAAGATTTTTAGAAGCATAAAATGGAGAAGAAAATTGATACATATTTGAAATATGTACATTTTGGAGTTGTATTGATTCATATTGGTTGATTTTTTCATCTTTTCTATTTCTTTTCTTTCAACGAAATTTGAACTTCTGTGTTGTTGATAATTGTTGACGTAACTTTATTATTTTGCTCAACTCTTTTCAAGATTGAATTCATTATTTGATTTGATTTAGTGACTAATGTTTATATATATATATTGTGATCACTGTTTAAATATTTACGGCTAAAATTTTATGAGATTACTATTATGCTTGAAAAGGGATCAAAATAATAAATTAAAGCAACACAATACATTATTGTTGAGTAACATAAAGCTTAATTATTAGTACTAGCTATTGTCATTTTTCTAGTTATGAAAAAATTGAAAATACCAAATGTCCATTAAGGGCAACCTAACTGTGTCTAAAATCCAAATTATATATAGATATCCATCCAAAACCAATATTTTATTCATCTGTCCAACTGTAAGTACACATATGTATGAACTGTGTCTGGAGGTTTTGACTTTCATCAAACAAATGTTGTTTCGTTCTTTTTCTTGAGCTCGAGTTTCAGAAACTCGTATCATATATATAACAAAGGTAATATTATATAAGGAAATTATTAAAAAAATTGAAACAAAGCAACAACCTACAAAAGCGAAGAATAAAGCTTGCCGAAAGCATAATTTCATCCTGCTTTTATAATTCACACGACCAACTCCCTAGTTTAGGTACGTAACAACATCAATGATTGAGGGGTTGTCTTAATAACCTATGTTTTCAAAACCGGATTGGACTGGGCGGTTGAACCGGTTAATCCGGAAATTTGAAACCTCATCGGTCCGGTTTCTATAAAAAAAATCAGATATTTTATAGCCTCGTCAAACTCGGTCAAATCCGGATAAAATTACAGTTTGACCGGAAGTCGGTACCGGTTAAATCGATTTTTACATATACTTTTAAAAAAATTAATTTTTTAATATTAATTTAATCGGTTTTCAACGATTTCGAGGAACTAGTTAACCGATTAATCCGGTAAACCGACCAATTCGATCACGCTAACGGTTCACTTTCCGATCCGGTTTTGAAAACATAGGTCTTAATCGAATAATCATTGAATAAGAATAATGCTATGGTTTTATATATGGTAGTACGTAGAACAACTGAGTTTTACGATTGATCATTTATTGGTTAATTTGGATTTCATTTCGACAAGATCTTGTCGTTAACATGAATATGAAGAACAATTGTCATGGCTGTCGTACTCTATAGGGGCCTCAAAGAAGAAAAATTTTATCTAGGCCAGAGTTCAATTTTCATTTTCAACTGACTATTAATCTCAACTCAATTGCAGGCTATCGATCGGGAATGACTTAACAGGTGAAGGGGCCAAGGGATACAAAAATATGTGAGTTATTTAATGCGTTATCCACCTATGATAATCTTGCTTAGTCCCTTATTAAAAATCCCGTTTAACTAAGCATAGTGGAACATTTCTATTTCAACAATTTACGCTGTATAAATCAGAGTTGTTTCTCCGACTTTGTTCATATAATGATGCGTAATCATGTTGGTACATATTTTTGAAGTTTAAATTCACTGGTATTGTTACTTGTTTTTTTTCCCCCAAGAATAAGAAATATCATTATGAAAGGGAAGTTGTAGTATTCTTAGCACCTAATTTGCTTAATTAAACGGTTGGTGAACTCACACAAGGTCACAAACTCACCATTTGAAACATTCTTTAGATGGGGTTCGGATGTAAGGGAGTTACTATCGGGATATAAGAGGGGCAAGGTTAGAAATTGTTAGACTAAAATAAGTTGTACCTTGATTAAGTTGACCAGAATAAAAAAATTGTACATTTTAAAACTGGACTATTTTATGGGATGCGGGGAGTATAAGGTTATAAAATCTTGCAATCATGTAAAATCAAGCACACTAATAGTTCAAGCTATGCAATGTTTTGGACAGGGACTTGATCAATGTATATAATTATGTTGTTTTATATGTATTCTTTACGTCCCAAAATACTAATTATTTTTCCTAACTTGTACATATTGACGATGGAAGCAATACACAGCGTGGGGGAAAAAAAAAGAAAGAAAAACAAGTACACAATGTTGTTTCATTAACACTGTTCTGAACTTTTGTGATGCATGCCCCACGGAGTTACGTCTTGCAGTCAAGATTGATGACAAGAGTAACATAAATGCTTAACTGAGATCGAACCAGAATTGATTCAATTCTGCCGTGGAGTATCAAATTGATGAACAATTAATGGCTAGCTACTAGTACTTCAAAAACTTATGTCGAGACAATTGCCTCAATGGCTCTTGTTTTCGGTTCAGAAGAAAAATAAGAATTTGAAAAACACCATAAAAAAATAGTAAGCAGAAACAGAAAAAAACCTGCTCTGATACCAAGAAAAAAATAAGTATTTGAAGAACAATAAAAAAATAAATGAGAGATAGATTGAATGGCTACATTGTGAATGACTGAATACAAAGACTGAGATAGAAGTCATATTATAGGCCTTCTACAGATGATAATTAACAAATTTTCACTACAGATAATAATAAAAAGACTAAAGTTATCAACTACTCAATATTTATCATTCCAACCGTTAGCTATATCTTTAACTCATAAGGTAAACAAGGATTTCTCTTCTTGATGATCTCCTCTTCATGATGATTATCTTTAACAGGTTCATTCATAGCTGGGCAGTATTATTCAATCAATGTAGAGAGAAAATTCTGCGTTTATTTAATTACATTTTTTTCGATAAAAATGTGGAGATTATATCGAAATAAGTTGAAAAATAGTAAAGTGATTGACTGACAAAATTCGAGAGATCTGTAGATCAGATGGTTCCTACCTCCAATGTAAATTTTGCAAAATGCGCAAAATTGTGAGCGATGAAGGGACTCTCAATACTACACATTACTGTATTAAACAAAGGAAACAACTCCAAAGATGTACACGCTAGAACAACGTTACAAGACAGAACAATCGCTTCACCAAAAGAGGCCAGCATTTATATATATATATATATACATATATCAAATGAAATGTGGACTTATCTTGTCTGAATTTTTTACTTTTAGTATAAGTAATTCGGATTGCGAGAATTCATACTGAATAATTATTTTAGGGCATAAGACTTACTAAAATACAAGTGATCTTTTACGTGTATGTTCCATCACGAGGCGGAGTGCTCGTGTATATAAAGAAACACAAAAGAAGATTAGACCATAAACCTGCAAAATACTCCATATTTGAATCTTAAAGCAATTAATTGTAGGTGAAAATAACTGGGATCATATCCCCAACCGCAATTTCATCCTGCTCATGGCATGCGGATTTGTGCTTGTCATGTACCGGATCTTCTATGACATAATATGTGACTTTTATTATTGAGTCCAGAATCATCATATACGGAGATCAAATTGATCCATAAAATTAAATAAGACCTCTTCGATGTAGTAATACTAACTCGGATTGAGTTTTCTTCAAAAAAAAAAAAAAAACCTCGGATTGAGTAGAAAAATTAGGTTTTTTTTAGAATTTATAATTGGAATTAAAGAGAATCGTTTTGGTTAGACCTAATTTTTATTTGTTAACAGGAAAAACATAAACTGAAAAAGAGAGCCTCAGCACAGAAGTAGAACCACCCATGTCAAATTGCTATCATCAGCCAATTAAACTAGGGGTTAGAATACGTGACAAGTGTCGAATATAGGCCGTCAGAATCGCCAAAGCCTCCATTTTATTTATGTTGAACACCTTTTTTTTTTCCCCGTTTTCTTTTTTTGCTTTTTGTTGGGTTTGAAACTGACGTCTAAGAATGGATTGTGACATTTTTCTATGTAATTAATGAAAACGTGTGTGTCCGCTCAGACCCAGCTGTCTGCCATACGTGGGTCTAGAATTTTCATCACGTTTTCTTCCCCCTAGATTCTGTTTTTACTATATACACTTTGAAAGATCCTTTCCCCCACGAGTGGGTGTCGTGGGTTCCCCCTGAATTTGTCACCATCCTTTTAACAAATGCGAAATTTAGAAGGAAATCTCGAAGTCCCCTGATCATTAGATGCTAAAAATTACTCCTCCTTCCGTCTCATGATTATTGTCCAGTTTGGATTTTTATTTTTAATTTAAATTGTATTAAAAGTGAAATTTCAAACTGAACTACTCCCTCCGTCCCATAATTATTGTCCACTTTGCCTAAAAAATTTTGTCCCAAAATTATTATCCAAGTTGACTTTTTATGGATCAAATTACACATTTGTCCTTAGTAAAAAACATTATCCATAAAATCTTAGTGGTTAAACAATTACTTATGAAGGGGCATGTCCGGTTGTTTAAGGTAAAATATAGTTAAGTTTGACCACAAATAAAATCTTTCATTTTAGTAAAACTGGACAATAATTATGGGATGGAGGGAGTATAATTTTGGCCAAGAGAGAATAATTCACTCAGAGGGAGTAATTCACGATGAAATTGAAACGTAAACTGATTTTCTTGGTTTAAAAGGAGTAATAAATGGAGTATTTCAGGGTGCAGTAGTACGTAGTACCGCGTTCATGGTTCCCCTATATGCATGTAAATGAACCTTTCTTAAAGGATCAATAACACACAAAATGATCCATATCTATGTAGTCTCGAGTGTTTTTGTAAATTTGACACACATAACATTATTATCACAAAAGATGGTTAGAGATTGGTTAAGTTAGAAAATATTATTACCATGAGATCTGAGATCTCGTTGTAACATTATTTAAATGTACTGACTACACTTTGTTTTTTGTTTTTGTTGGTGGAGTTAGATTTTGGTTCTTCAAAAGTGTCTAAAATGTCAGACGGGAAACGGAGACGGAAACTAAAGAGGCAAGATCGAGCAGCATGGAGGATCAAACCAAGAATCAATTGTCTCACAAGTTCTTTGTCATCTTTGGTCACGAGAGAGACAATTGGACGTGTTTTACGTTATTACCATTCCCTCTGCAAACAAGATTACGAACCATGACTTATGGTTTTATTTTACGCTTTAAAAACTCAGGTTATTGTCAAAAGATACATGATTTGGCTTCACAAGACATGCAAATCTTTTTTGGATCCAAAGGATTCGAGCCCCATTAAGCTTTTGTCATGAAGTGCTATTCCCTGTTCTGAAAAAATAGTTTAAATCGTAAATTGTATTGAAAATAGCACAATTCACAAATTATAATGTGAATTTTATTTTTTATTTTTTTGGACGAAGAGAATATAATCATTTGGGCCACGAAGGAAACGGACAATGTTTATGTGTATTACTTAATTTTGACCTCTTCTTGTTTAGACTTTGAAGATTCCGCAACTTTATATATTGTGTTCTGCATCCGACTGGCTTTAGGCCAGAGGCAGTTTGGTCTGTGGCGGTTGCCTTGCCCATATTGATAATTGATTTGTTAAACTAAAATGTTCATCATTCGGTGGTGGGAGCGGGGGACTCGAGGAGGAAAGTAAATTGAGGTAAATTTTTATTTATCCAGTTGTATTTGTGATGCACAAATTATTCTCTCCATCCTCGAACAATTGGCAATGAGAAATTCCTTACTTGATAGAGAGGGTATTAATTTTTGTTATTTGATGATAGAGGTAATCGACCTCAATGTTTTATTTTTTTTTAGAAATTTACTGATTATTATTGGTTTCATCGATTAAATAATTCTTGGAATCTATGGTTAGTTACTCCAAAAAAATTCGATAAGATAACTTGTATTTGCTACGAGGGAATGGGGTAGAAAGTTACCCCGAAATAATACTTTCACTAAGAACAACCACAGTGGGTGAAGGAAAATTTGGCAGTAACACGTAAAAAGAATTTATGCACAATGACAATTATCAAAAATTTGTAAAAAATGTGGGCAACACTTGGCCACCATTGCAGGGCTTTTTGTTGTTCATGCAGCTTTTCTTCTCATTTTGTGACTGGTTTTTGTGCCAGACCCCACCTTTCTCTGCTTTTTCTGACAATGCTGAGGGAACGGGTCTATTACTTTCTACGAGCCACAGTGGAGAGTTACGAATTGGGCAGTAATTAGCACAGTTTGTAAGGGCCAATTACTGCCCGTTGCAATGCTCTAACACTTTCCTGGCATAGAACATGCATAATTCTAGTTAAGTAAATTGCTTAAATCCATGTATGGAAACAATACTCCTTCTATACAAATTGGGAGTCCAACATACTCCTATCGCCTAAGGACTTTCCAAAGAGAATTCATTACATTAGGATGGAGTTCGGGTAAACCATTTCGAGAACGTTTTTCTGACTGGTCTGGCGCTCGTGACTCAAGTCATACATACATAGTTCCAGGCTTCCATCACTGTTGTTGCAAGCTGTTGTGAGCTTCAAAAAAAAAGCTATACGCTAGTTAAAGTTGATATATTTTTAGTTGAGAATATGAATATTAGTAGACTAGCAAAGCTTTTTTGGAGTTGTATAACTTTGATGATTTTCTGAAGTCTTAATATATAGTAGTATTAATATTGGCTTTCAAAATAAAGCTTCAATGACCATAACTTGAGGTTTCCTTCAGCTCCTCACAAAATTCATCGAGTCATTGTCCACAGTTGTCCCTCGTCCATGCCCATTGTCAGCCTAGCAGAAAAAAAAATAACCTAGAAAGAGAAAATAATCGTGATTGTTGGCGCAATTGGGTTTCCAAAAGCAGACATATTTTGGGCTTCAGAAAAACGAAAAGAGACATGTCTTTGATCTGGACCATTAATTAGTAAGCCCAATGGAATTGAGGATTCGAAGCTTGTCCGATCCAACTTTTCTTTCGTTCTCCTATGAAACGATATGATTCCCTCAAAAATTCATTAATTTATTTTTTCTAATCCATTCTCAACTTTAGAACGACGATTAGTCAATTTTGTAGACGGTGACAAGACCCTTCCAAGTTCCATCGAGGTACAACTCAGACGGCGTACACTTTACGATATGAAAAAATTCTTTCTAATTGGACATTTCATAACTCTAATGTAATTTTAGTCTTACAAATTTCTAGGAATGAAATAATATTATGGTTAAAGAATGTACAAATTCCTAGGAATGAAATAATGTGATGGTTAAAGAAAACTGTCACTATAATAGCAGTAACACCTTTTGGCGGGCTGGAGTTTTCTTAGTACTCAAACATTCGAAATATTCCATACCACCCCACAAAGTCATCAACCTCAAGGCCAAAAAAAAAAAAGACAGCATTTTTATGGCTGTACCAAAAAAAGTAAAGTTCATTGCTTCCCTATATCAGCTTTGCTTTCATCCATCCACTGCTATTTCACTTTCATCTATTGTTGTTCGTTTAAACATTCTTCGGTAAGCATTTCTTTGCTTCTTTTTCACCCTGTAATCTATCAAGAGATTGAGAACTTCATCATTGATGAATCATTCTTTCTTTGAGATTTTGGACATGTAGGTAGTTTCTTAAATAATGTTGTTGGTTTTTCAGCATTTTGTTTCCTGTTAGCACATTTAAGCAAGAGTTCTTTCTATCTCCTTGTCAAAGTATCAGTTGCAACTCGAATCGATTCTTGCTCAGTTTATTGTTTTCCCCTGATCAATTGTAGGGGAAGAGACATATTCCAGGTGGACATGCAAAAATCAAAAGAATTATTTAGGGAGGTATCTATTGCAGCAGGGGCAGGCGGTTACAAGGGATCGAAAAGTTCTACAGAAGCTCGGTTTGCTAAGCACATAGATAAATCAATTCCTCCTCCAATTGAATTTCACTGGCATTTACATCCACCTTTACAGCAGAAGAGTTGGTTTGTATCCATTGCTAGCTTCAAGGCAATGTTGACTCATCCAATTAAGTGGCAGAAGTCGTTAAGGTTACAGAAAAGCCCATCTATGAAAGCAATTCTTGATGGAGTTCGCGATCCTAAAGACGAACAAATTGTGGATTCGTTGCGTGAAATGCTTTTACTTGAGGGTCATTTACCTGATAAGCACTATGATTATCACACCCTTTTACGGTATGAATTCATTTATAGGTTTATTTTGTTTTTTTTTTAAGAAGCAATAATTGATATAGAGTGTTGTATTTCAAGTTTCCTACCCTTTTGTGGTTGCAGGTATCTTAGAATGAGAGATTTTGATCAAACCAAAGCCAAAGACATGTTTTTGAATTATCTAAAATGGAGAGAGGAGTTTGGTGTTGAAGCATTAATCAAGGTGACGTTCAAACCTACCTTTTACTGATATTGCCGAGAATAATTTGAATACTCAGTTACTCACTGAGATTAGGCTGTCAATCGTTCTCATACATTAACGGCGACGAAAAGAAACGAATCCCTCATTTTGATGCTGTCCAGCGGTGTGATCATATGTGTTGCAGGAGTTTCAGTTTGAGGAGTTCAGAGAAGTTAAGGAATGCTACCCACACGGATTCCATGGAGTGGATAGATATGGAAGACCAGTTTATATTGACAGGATTGGAATGGTAGACATAAATAGACTCCTTGAAAAAACTACCATTGACAGATTTGTGAAGTACCATGTTTGTGAACAAGAGAAAACTCTGAATTGGAGGTATCCTGCATGTTCATTGGCTGCAAAGAAGCACATTGCCTCCACCACCAGTATCCTCGATGTAAAAAATGTGGTAAGGAAAAATCCACCATGTTTTACTTCCAAGTAAATACACGATGAATTTGCGCAACGTTGTTTGAAGTGATTGTAAAATCTATGCAAGCTTTTGTAGAAACTATAGTTGTGCACATTGTAGTTTGTGTTCTAAAATCCATTGTGTTTGCATAGGGAACCTCTAATTTCTCAAAGCCAGCAAGATATCTTTTCCTGGAAATTCAGAAGATTGACAGCAACTATTATCCTGAGGTGATGTGGTGCACGTAACTCTCTTTTGTAGTTTTCCTGACTTTCAATCTTTCTTCATCTGGAATGAAGAAAATGAAGTTGGATATGACAGAATCTTACATTTTGTAGACTCTGAATCGGCTCTTCATCATTAATGCTGGTTCTGGATTTAAGGTGCTTTGGACAGCTATAAAGACGTTTCTTGAACCTCGAACATTAGCGAAAATCAAAGTAAGTTTGCTTCCATACTCTCTCTCTGTGTAGTATCCATCTTAAGGAATTTTTCTGAATCCAATTTCTTGAGGGTGCAATCCACAGGTACTAGGGAGTAACTACCTAAGTACTCTTGCCGAAGCTATTGATCCAAGGTAAGCATAAGGCTTCGACTACAAAAATACTCATCTCCACAGAACATTTAACACAAAGATGATCATAATTTACTCAGCGGATTTTGTTCGTTTGCCCTGCAGTAACCTACCAACTTTCTTGGGTGGGAACTGCACATGTTCAGATTCAGGTGGCTGCCTGTTGAGTGATAAAGGACCCTGGAATGATCCTGAGATAACGAAGATGTTTCAGGTAATGTTTTGTTCATGGCTTCATGAAAAATAACTAGTCCTTTTAAGTTTGTTGTTCTAAGCTTGAATCCAGTGTAGTGACATGCTCTTAATTTCTCCAAGTAGTCAATGATTGGTAATGAAGAATGTGAGGAAAGGCTAAAGAGAAATCTGGCTACAGAAGATGGAGTAAGCAAAATCTGAACATTAGGACAACTTTTTCATTGCTTAATTAGAATTCCCGGTTCTGATGGATTCCTGCATTTGATGCAGGACGATGTGCGATTGAAAGATGCATCTGAAACAAGACTTGGTGATCATCTTTCACCTAAGAAGATCCAGGCATTTGAAGAACTGCTAAGAGAAGCGAAAAGAGTAAGTTGCCATTGCATAACAAATACTCCAGTTTGGATTTTCATTTTTAGTTCAAAATGTACAAAAACTGAAAATTTAAATTGGACAATCAATTTGAGACAGAGTGGAATAACAGTTTCTAGAGTTTTTCTACACAGAGAACCCTTGGAAAGACAAATGAGTGAATTAACCACCTTAATGTCATTCACAATCAACTCTTCAACAAGGTATCTATTAGTACGTTGGTGGAACACAAATTGACTTGATGAAGTACTTGTTTGCAGAAAATAAGGACATTGGAAGTAGCCCTTGAGGATACAAAATCGGTGAGGACATTGGTGGCTTGCTATGTGTAATATGCTTCTTATTCTTTGTTAGAATTTGAACTCTATAATTGTGTTTTGGAATGTTTAGGTGCTACAAGGACTTACTCAACACATGGAAGAGCTGAAAAGATAGAGTAGCATGCAAGATCCTCGTTGGCATGGAGCTTACCCTGCTTCCATCTCTTGACTTCTTTTTTCCTCATTTTGCAATTCGAAGTTTCTCGAAGTTGTTAAGTCTTTGAAATTTGGATGTGTGAAGCAAATTTGGGACAGAGGGAGCACAACTGTATGACGTTTGGAACAAACTTTGGACAATAGTCAATATCTAAACTCATAAAGTTAGGTTTGGAATTGTAAAGAAGACTAAAATGTCCAAATGGTCCCTTACATTTGGGCCTACTTGAATTTATGTCCCTAATTATACATTTCAATATCGTAGTCCCAAACATTATGTTTTCACACTTTTTTGGTCCCATTTCACTGTTTCCGGCCGTTGACATTCCAGAATCAGGGGTATTTTTGTCTTTTAATTTAATTTAAATTTTTATTAAAATTTAAATCATTAAAATTATTTTAAAATTTAAATTTCATTATTAAATTGTTAAATATTATTTATTAATTAAAAATATTATTATACAATTATAAAAAATTTATCATTATTTTCAAAATTACTTTTTCATTTACTATTTCTTTTAAGTACACAGTAAATGGTAATTATGTTGCACTTTTAATTTTGGGTCCACAGTAACTTTAAAAATTTACCAAGTTACAGTAAATAATTCAAAATTTATTTATTTTTTTTTAAAAAAGCAAAACTAAGATTTTTTTTTTAATCTGACCGCTACGGTAAACCCTTAATGGTAATTATATCACACTTTTAATCTTGGGTCCACTGTATATTAATTTACCGAGTTACAATAAATAATTCAAAATTTAATTTTTTTAAAAACAAGAAAAAACAAAACCAAGATTTTTTTTACTCTGACTGCTATAATAAAACTTAAATGGTAATTATGTTGCCCTTTTAATCTTGAACCCACTGTAACTTAAAAAATTTATCGAGTTACAGTAAAAAATTCAAAATTTAATTTTTTTCCAAAAAAAAGGAAAACCAAGATTTTTTTTACTCTGACCGTTACGTTGCTTTTTTAACCTTAGACCCACTATAACTTAAAAAATTTACCGAGTTACAGTAAATAATTTAAAATTCAATTTTTTTTAAAAAAGAAATAAGCAAAACAAAGTAATTGACCGCTACAGTAAACCCTTATATTGTACTTTTAACCTTGGACCAAATGTAACTTAAAAAATTTGGTGAGTTACAGTAAATAATTCAAAATTTAACTGTGGTGGTCAAAGTAAAAAAAAATCTTTGTGTTGCTTTTTCCTTTTTTTTAAAAAAACTTGAATTTTGAATTATTTACTGTAACTCGGTAAAATTTTTAAATTATAGTGGGCCCAAGGTTAAAAGTGCAATGTAATTACCATTTAGGGTTTACTGTAGTGGTCAGAGTAAAAAAAATGGTTTTACTTATTTTTTTTAAAAAGAAATTAAATTTTGTATTATTTACTGTAATTCGATAAATTTTTTAAGTTATAATGAGCCCAATATTAAAAGTGAAACATAATTACTATTTACTTTGACCTAAGGTAAATGATAAAATGAAAAAATTAATTTTGAAAATAATGTAAATTTTAAAATTTTTATAATCATATTTTTAATTAATAAATAATATTTTAACAATTAAATAATGAAATATGAATTTTAAAATATTTTTAATAATTTATATTTTAATAGAAATTTAAATTAAATTAAAAGACAAAAATACCCCTGATTCCGACATGTCAACGGCTGAAAACAATGAAATGGGACAAAAAAAGTTTGAAAACATAATGTTTGGGACTACGATATTGAAATGTTAATGTTAGGGACGTAAATTGAAGTAGGCCCAAATGTGAGGGACCATTTGGACATTTTAGTCTGGTAAAGAATTGCATCTCATAAGAGAATGTTTAAAATCCTACGAATTCTCCATTTTGTAGTATTTTTTCTTGGGGATCAATTGGTGCTTTTCCTATAGATTGAGCTTCTACCGTAGTCAATTTTGGTATGTCATTTTTTTTTTTTATATACTGGGGAAGAGCAAACTTGCTTAGTTTACAAAATAACTTCCAAGTAGAAGTTAGCTTATCCTTAAGGAGCTTATCCTGTTTGGTTTGTCATTGAAGTTGTAGTAAATTTAAATACTATTTGAGGTGGGCTTCAAAAAATTGATTTGTATAAATAAGAATTGTAGAAGAATCATACCAGCGGCAGGAACTTTGGGCTAGATGCCTGGGAACATGGGCCTAAGTCTATCAGCCCTAATTTTTAGTGAAACCAATTTAGAGGTTAAATGGAAAAAAAAAATAAAAAATCAAATTGGATAATTTCTAGTGAGATTCGAATCACACTTTTTTTGTTTTGTTTTTTTCTTTTTATTTTTGAATATTTTTTTGGTTTTTGTTTTTTGTGTTCATGGGTACTGGAATCAGGATTGGTGTAATGGAACTGAGCCTTTTCTATAACCAAAGAAAAAAAATTCAAAGAGAGGAAAAAAAAAAAAATTCTTGGATTACTAAATTAATGTTGATAAACAAAAGTTTTTTTTTAGGAATCTTGGATTACTAAATTAATTTGGGTTCAGTTAAACAGTTGTAATTTCTCTTTTAAAATAGTTATGTGATTAGCGATGTGCATCAAATTGTAAGTTTTTGACTCGATTTGATGATGAAACGCAATGGTTACCATTTTTCCTCCCCGTTAAAAACATGCTTGTCATCGAGCCTGATAACATGAAACTCTAAAATGTTTTGTTCAAGCTTGGTTTACGCTTTCGTTGAAAAGTAGGTTTTGCCTTCAAATCAAAGTGAAAAACAATATGGATATGGTAGTAAACAGAATCCACTACAACAATTATTTGATCAATTAACCAAATGCAGGAAAAAGAAAAAGAAAAAAAAAACCCACATCAAGTGGCTGGAGAAGCCACGGGTGCACGTATAATAATTTATAGAAGGTTGGATTATTTCCTTACAAAAGGGTTTTGTGTGGTTTTGGAAAATGACTTCCCAAAATGACCCAAAACACAGAAGGAAAGCCTGTCTTCAAAGAAACTACAGTTTCATGCTGCCTGCCCACATGGCGCTACGTAATTTTGTGGAAGTTTAATGCCGCAAAAATCAAAAGCGGCCCTAATGGCACGATTAATTTCTATGCCTTGAATGTCAAAGTAATTTAATTGGACGGCTTCGCAAAGACAAAGGGCAGCTTCAGGGACAGAAAGTTTAAGAATATTGTAGCAGCATATTGCCGTGGGTAAATCGTAGTCATTACCATCAAAGAAAAGACTGCATCCTCCAAAGCTTTGGTTTAGTGCGCTTGTTGCCACTGGACAGCTTGGTTGAGGTGGTGGAGGCGGTGGCGGCGGAGGGGGTGACGGAGGAGGTGGTGGCGGAGACGGCGGAGGAGGCGGTGGTGGAGATGGCGGAGGAGGTGGTGAGTGACATTTAGGTTTAGGAGGTGGCGGGGGAGATTTAGGTTTAGGAGGAGGAGGAGAGCATTTGGAGTTATGCTTATCGTTTGACTTTGACTTTCGACATTGTTCAAGTTCAGATGCACCACTACTAACCAAAGTCAGAAGAATAAGCATTAAGAGAAAGATAGCCAAGTTATTGAAGCCCTTAAAACCCATTTTAGTTATATGAGTTCCAAGAGACCGAAAATATATCTTTAGCTTTGCTGGGATGGAAACATCTAATTAAGTGAGGACTTTTATAGTGATCAATCAAGGAAGGAAGATGATATATATGTGCTTTATTTTTGTTGTGTTGCGTTGAAGTTATGGATCTATATATTTAAGTGATGAGATAGTTCTCTCTTTATTGCTGTTATTAAGGAATGTATTTTAGTTGGCAAAAACATATTTAATTTGAACGATTCCCTCCCAACTTGCTACCTTCTGGCTTCTTCCTTCGATTGAGACTCTCTAACCACACTTCTTAAATATTATTGGATCTAGGGTGTCACCGAGTATGTGTATGTATCTTGATGTGTTTCGTGTGTGAGTGTTTGTTTTCTTCCTTAGTTAAAAGGCAGATTAATTAGTTAAAGTGCTCGCAGTTTCCACTTTCCAGCGGCAAAGACAAAATTCATCAAGAATAACGATATTCATCTCAATTAATGTGTTTCACTCTTGCCGATGTCCAAAACCATTATATTTCAATTAATTCAAAGTTCAATTAAGATAGAGTTAGAATGCCATGTAATCGCAGTCTTTAGAGGAGTATTATGAGGGAAATTCCACATGCAAGGCACCAGGTTATCTGGACGGTATTTTACAGATGATTTCTGCAATTCCACTGATTAATTAGCATCTTCAGATCGAAGTCAAACGCGTAACTTCTCCCCAGATGAATCATTAAGTAGGTTAGTTGCCTTGTTATGATTCTTTATTCGCTAGCAATATGCCAATATAAGAGTCAATCTGGCTTTTAATATGATAGAAAATATTCCCTCCATTTTTTATTATATGTCGTTTTAGGGTTTAGTATCTTTTTTTAAATATACTTTCTCCATTTCAAAATGTAAGTTTTTTTAGTCTCTACACGTAAACTGAGGAGACAATCATTGAATGATTAATTTGTGTATTAAATGTTTATTTTGCCCTTCATTAATTGTTTTGGAACTATAACTAAAACTAGATGAAAAGTTATTTGCATTATTTATTGGGGGCAAAATTGAGAAGTTAATCTTTAATTTGCCTTGAAATCCTAAAACGACCTATATTTTGAAATATTTCTCCAAATCTAAAACGGCCTGTATTTTGAAATGGAGGGAATATGTCGTTTTAACAAATCGAGATAAATTTGACCACTTTTTTTCAATATTACCCCTGCATCGGAAATGAAACAGTATAGATAATGAATTTTTATTGGTTTTTGATGAATTATATAGACCATAAATAAAAGTATTTTTGTATTTTAACTATATTAATTAATGTTTTTTTTGGTTTTGATGAATTTTCTAGAAAGACATATTAAAAAAATGGAGGGAGTAATTATTTCCTTGGAAGTCAAACTAATATAGGCAAATTGACCACTTACTATTCATTTTCTTTTTTGGTTTTGTATATTACTACCTGTCGAACATGATTACTTCGATTAATCTAAATTAAGTCGGGTAGCGCAAGTCGCGGAATAATTCACTTGTGCAACACATTGCTTTGGTCAACCCTATTGTTGGAAACCCTAAGTAATTATTAGCCACTGTGTCATTTTATAAACCTCTATCTCTATATTGATCACATTCTTCCTCATCTCTTTCTGGTAAGCTTTCATTGTCATTCATGCAATAATCACATTGCTTTGGTCAACCCTATTGTTGGAAACCTAATTAATTATTAGCTACTGTGTCATTTTATAAACCTCTATCTCTATATTCACATTCTTCGTCATCTCTTTCTGGTAAACTTTCATTGTCATTCATGCAATAAATAGAGAGAGAGAAAAAAAATTCTGCGTTTCAATGTCAAACATGTACTGACGAGGCAAACCAATAAATCTTTTTTTAAGTATACATTTTGTGTTTGAAATCATTGGTCCATTACTCCACATTTGACCTAGTCAAACCTAGTTAAACATATTCTGTGTTGCTAATCCAAATTCCGTCCGTCGGAGACAAAAAACTCATCACTTAAATGTATATACTACATCTACCCTTCAACCAACACATACCATCCTCCTGCTTCATCACACTATAAAAACCTCATTTTGGAACACACGACAATCCACACCCCCTCCCCAAAAAAACGAAGCCCAAAATAAAAAAGAAGAAGCTAAAAATGGGTTCCTCCAAATTCACAGCCTTCTTTCTTCTCATAATGCTCGTATTTTTCGCAGCAGTTTCAAGTGCATGCGATAAAGAGTGTCAAACGTCCAAATCAAAGCATAAACCACCTCCTCCTCCTAAACGCAAATCTCCTCCACCTCCTAAACCTAAATGTGTCAAATCGCCGCCTCCTCCTCCTCCTTCTCCTCCTCCTCCTCCTCCACCGCCGCCACCTCCACCACCTCCACCGCCGCCGCCACCTCCATCACCACCGCTAGTATGCGTAATTAACATCACAGAGTTGCAAGTATGTACTCCTTTGTTGAACAAAGATACCAACGTCACTTCTGATGTGATAAGCAACTGCTGCGACGTCTTTCAAATTGAAATTGGTGACTATCCCCAAGACTATATTTGCGTATGCGAAGCCTACAATGCCGGGGTTTTTGGCCCGGTTGACATTACTGCTCCGCTTATATTTGCCCCAATCCGCAGTGCCTGTCAGTTAAGCGCTCCACACGATGTTATCGATTGTACCCCTTTTCTCAATTAACAAAAACGTGCTTTGTTTTGGGACTGTGTTAATTAATTATTTGTCCAAACTCTTGTTTCCTTTTTGTTCTCAATTTAAACAACTATCATTCGAATCCAGCTTAATTGTCAAAAGGGTGAGCCACTGGAGTTCGCTTTTTAGTATTGTTATAAGGCATTCTGGCGTTTAACAATACCATTTGTTCCTGTTCATTTTCGTGTTATTCAATGGCTGTATCATCATCATTTATAATAAATGAATTAATGATTTTAATTTGATCGTTATCTTCCCAGTATATTCTAACTAATGTTACACAGATTTTACAGCCTGCTCGCTAGCTAAGTTAGTTCCTAAAACCCTCTGATATATGTGAATATGACAATTTTGAGATTTTGGAACAAATGGTACTATTATATGACTACTTGCTGCTTACTTCAGTAACCATTTTCATTACTTAGGGTAGGGCTGTTCTTTTACATAAAACCGACCGAACCGGATCGAACCCGCACCGAACCGTTAGCTTGGATCGGTTCAGAATTGGGGCAACTTTCTTTTGGATCACTATGGTTTGGTTCGAATCGGTTCCGGTTAAATTTCGGGTCTGAACCGAATTGACCCAAAAAGAACCATTTTGTATCCGATGATGTCATCAAAATATTACGTTGACGTCATCTTGCCGGCACCGGTCACCGGTCGCCGGGAAAATCGATTTTCTGACAATATCGCCGGAATTTTTGGCCAGAAAAATCAATTCGCCGGCGACGTCGCCAGAATTTTTGACCGAAAGTTGTTGCCAGCGGCGGTCGGTTGCGGTCAACGTCGGAAATTATTAAAATTTATTATTATTATTTTTTTATTTAAATTAGTTCGGTTCAATTTGGATATTTACTTAACCCGAACAGATCCGAACCATTCCACTCTTTCAAATAATTGATCCGAACCGAACCGAATCGAAACTAAATTTTCGGATCGGGTCGGTTCAGATTATCGGTTCGACCCGAACTGTGGGTCAAAATGACCAGCTCTAACTTAGGGTCACGTTCCCAATGTAATGGAATTGAGCCTTTTCTATAACCAAAGAAAAAAAAATTCAAAGAGACAAAAAAAAAAAAAAAATAGAAATCAAAGAAGAGAAGAAAGGAAAGTCAGAGTTCTTTCAATATTTTCCACAACGGATACAATGCTGCACAGATGTGGTCATGTATTTAAACTACTGCTGCTAAAACTAAAGATATATAAACTACTCCTCATAACTTGGATAAAGTCAAAATAAACACCGAATTGAAATATATGGGATTCGGAGGCTGAAGGTGATATTAGTTGGCACGGGAAGGATAGTGAAGCTGAAGGAAAAAGTACAAGATGGATTCCAATAGGGAAAATGTGGCTAAAAAATCAAAATTATTGTTATACTATGAGTTGAGGAGATAGCCAGATAGCTGGGATAATGGGTAATATCCGAAAGCACAAGGAAGCTATATATGAAGTTGACTGAACGTTCCCAAACACCGTTTTGTAGATTTGAGTAGCTGAATTGTAATGTGAGATGAGTCACAAAGGAACCACATTCTCAGAATGATCTATTGAGGGCAATTGGTGTGCATGCTGCTCAAGATAAAAGAATTGAACATGTATTTCAAACTTGTTCGTTTGTTTTTCAGTCGATGGTATAAAACCATGATATAGTTGAAGATAAAAGTAAAGTTTTTTGTACCTAAAAATTGGAAGAATTTTTCATACAGTTGGATATTTTTGAAGCCCAAGTAACAATTGCTCTTTGCCGCTGTTGTAGCTGGAGCGTATCAAATTTGGATAAAAAAAATATAAAATCTGTCATCTTTGAGCGGAACATAATGGTTGTGGATGTTGTCTTCACTATAATTAAAAGGCAATCAAATGTAGATTAGTGGGATGCAATTATAACTAAATGTTGGTAAACAAAAGTTTTTAGCAGAATCTTGGATTACTAAACTAATTTGGGTTCAATTACACAGCTAGTGTAATTTTCTCTTTTAAAAATAGTTCTGTGATTAGCGGTGTGTATTAACTTGTAAGTTTAAGACTCGGTTTGATGATGAAATGGAATGGTTACCATTTTCCCTCCCCATTAAAATCAAGCTTGTCATCAAGCCTTATAACATGAAACTCTAGAATTAATGTCTTCTCATCAAGCTTGGTTTACTCTTCTTTTGAAAAGTACTTCCTCCGGTCCTTAATATAGGGCATTTTGATTTGTCCTATATTTCACCTAATACGCATTTTTAATTAACGAAAATACCTTAAAAATATATTTTTATATTCGTCTTATTCTCTTGAATGTTACAAAATATGTTTAAGGTTTTTTCGTCGATTTGAACATGACATACCACTTCCTGAATATATGTCTTTAGCTGTTGTTTTCGAAGATTTTTTTTCCTTGATCCTTGAATTGTCTTTTTAGGTTTTTTTTTTTTTTTGCATAGATTCCTTTTTGGTTTCTTAGTTTATTTCAGTTATAATGGATCATCAAACAGAGTTACGGTTTGTTCAATAATTTGATTTGAATATCACATCAGTAAAATAAAATTTGGTTTGAGACCCTCTTTAAACAATCCTATTTCTCCTAGCACTTCAACCGTTGTCCAGAATTGTTTTTATAAATATCTTCGTGATTTAGTAAGTTTAATGCAACTCTTATGGATTGCAAAACAGAGGTTTCTTTAACTGAGAACTTCATTTGAACATGACGTACCAATTCGTGAAAATCTGTCTTCAGCTGCTGCTTTTGGAGATTTGTTCCTGATCTTTGAACTTCATTTTGAAATTTCTTTTCATCGATTCCTTCTAGTTTTGCTTAAGTTTAGTTTAGTTGTAACATCACTTTGTTGCAGACTAGTTGACATATGGCTTGAAGTTTGATTATTATCATGTTCTTAAACTCATAAAAGATTCTTTGTTTCTTTTTCATGTGAATTTGCATGAATTGCCATTGTTGCAAGCACTTAGCCAAAGACTCACAGAGTGAACGTTGTATTGTCTAAAATTAATGCCATTTTTTTTTTATATTTTTAGTATTCTTTGTTTTAACATTAATTAGTTCTATTGGATTTAGAATTTCTTTTGGTTCATTGATTTTTGTAGTGTATGTGTTCAGTGTAATAATGGTTCTAATGTGCAAATATACAATTTTATGTTTATTAATAAAGCATAAATTTAAAATTAATTTTGTTTAAAACAGTAAAAAACTGAACGACGACTGCTAACTTGTCTCTACATTGTCATCATTGTCTTACTGGCCGATGGCCGGAACATGAGACCAGCCATGGCATTTAAGTCGTAATAACAGTGACGAAATTTAAGTCATCATAACAATGACGACCTACCGTCCAATGACAAGATAAAGTTGTCACCATAGTAACGAGTTATGGGTTGTCATTATTGCCTTCTTCATTGAAAAGTGACGAGTTATGGGTTGTCATTATTGCCTTCTTCATTGAAAATCTAATAAAGTTGTCAAAAAAGCACTCTTTAATGACAGGCCTTTAGCGACAACTCTTCAACAAAAAAAAATATTGTCATTAAACCTCTTTATTGACAACTTTTTGGGCTGTCAATTGTGACTAAAGACCGATTTTCTTGTAGTGAAACTGACATTTTTAGTCAATGCCAAGTCAAATATTTAACATTCTAAAAATGGGATGTTCAAAATGTTACCGTCACTTTATTCCAACCAAGAAGTAGTTCTGCCTCTATCACTATCTCCCCTTGAAGAAAGGTTGAAACTAGACCAATTGTTGTGGAGGAAACCCAAGAAAAAGTAGCTCGAATTGAGCACATATTAACTCCAAGAAAACTCTTCTCCAAAACATAAGGGAGTTGAACTGGATTGCATATAGTCTAAGCCTGTCATTGGTCATATAAAAATGGTTGCTTACTACTCAAAGCAGGCTCTCAAATCTTTTCATCTCTAAGAATAAGCATTGATTTTAAACATTCCAACTGAATGTTTAGCAACTTGTCAACATTTCTTCCAAAAACTACAACACTCGGTAGTTGTGACTTCAAATCATCTGCTACTTCTAATATTATTTTCGTTTGTTGGATCTGCAAATCTAATCCCACATCAGTGTTGAGAGAGTTACAAACTTAATATTAAGCTTGGTGGGCTGCTCTCTCTATTGCCAATTGGTTTTAGAGTTGTACCCCATTTGAGTTTATATATTGGACTTGAGTAATACTGTGCTAGGAAGAAGGATCCTAACATCGTTGTGCAAATGAGTTATTCAACAAAAGGCATCAGTGTCGCCTCATTTATCAAACTAATAAAATGAATGCTCCCAACTCCCAAGTGCATTTACAATGCCATTCAGTTTCTCTATGAATTAGTAGGTAACTATGTATGATTTGATGAGAATTGTTCTTAAGATGTATTGTCCCACATTGCTAGCGTGAAGATAAGTAACTTAGTATAAAAGCTCTCATTGGCTCAGTATATGAGCTCTAAGGGTCACCCCGCTCATTGCCAAATGGTTTTGAGATGGGAGCCTGATGAGAGTCAACTTATACATGTTTTAGCAAGCATTATTTGCCTTTTTCTACTTGTGTTTTAGTTTAATTTAGTAGGAATGATATAGTTTTAATGTAATTTTTTGACTTTTGGTGATCAAGGGACTTAATTGCTAAATCTGCAAAAAAAAAAAAGTGGTAAAAATGGTAAAGTTTTGGGCAGAATTGAAAAAGGCCAATTGGAGTAATGGTGCAAATGTTGGTGATGATGGAACCGGCAGCAACAGCAGCAAGGGGAAGAAGAAAATCAACCAAACCCTCAGGGTTAAGGAAGGAAGGAAGCGTGAAGATGAAGTAATGTTGCTGATTTCAAGGGGGGATAGTGAACCATAAGCTAATTAAATCAATTGAACACCTCAAGACTTATTAGAAGACAAAGAGGGGTATGGGGAAGTATGAATCTTCCCTAATCAAGAATCAATCTTGACTTCTTTGATAAAGTGAAGATCAACCAAGCTAAGCAAGCTTGCTTCCCCCAACCTCTATAAAACCAAGAAGATCAGCAGCAGCAAGGCATCGAGTGAAGAAGGAAGAAAATTAGAGTTAGTTTAGTTTTCGATTAGGTATAAAAACAGAGCATCAATAGGAAGTAGAATCAGGGGTGCGACTTAGTGAAGTGAGAAGCTGACTTCTCAGCAGACCTGAACCATACTCCCTGACTCTGATCTTCCCTTGTTTTCTCTTCTTTCTAGTTGTATTCATGTTGGAGTCTCTTTATTTCATTGCTTTTGTGTTTAAGATTCTCAACATGTGTAACTAAACTCTTTTCTAGTGTCTAATCCCTCTATTTTATATAAGTATGTTTTAAATTAGCTCTCGGATGATATTTATGTGTCTAATTTTAGAGTTTGAATTGAAATTATCGTTGAATTTACCACTTAACTGATTGCGCCGGCATGTTAGGGGAATCATTAACGGGTAAACTTAATTTAGAATGTCTAAGATTAGCCGGTGACAAGGGGTAACAATCCAAGGTTTCAAACAAAAACGGAAGTTAGTTGTTTGGCATGAGGCGATCAATAGGGTTTAGGATATTAATGGTTTAGTAGTATTTTGGAATCAACAACGGAAGTTAGTGGGTTTGTTGCTACAAGGACTCTGTCTGGAATAATCGAGAGTGACTTTAATTATGGTATATCTGTGCCTGATTGAACACAGTTTCATACCACAAAGAGAACAATTAAATTAAAGCATACGAGTATAAAGCAGAAAGGACAATGACCCTAGGTTTCATCTACTTTGTCAAGTTAGAAAGTCACTTGCACAAGTTGCAATTTGTCTCCAACTTACATCTTGAACTCGAGCCCAATTTTCTTTGATATTCACCGTCTCTGTGGGATTGACCCTTCTTATCACTTACTACAAGTTTTAGGTTGGTTATATTTTGGTGGATTCGACATCTATCAGAGCCCAAATTACTTGTTGGCATTTTTAGTTAATTTATTTCAAAAGATGAAGTTTTAATGTGTTAATTCTTTTAATGGTTTCTTGTCTTAAATCACATATTGCATAAGAGACTTGAATGCAGTGTTATTTTCGTTGTTAAATCCGAAAGATGAGGCATGCATGTTTTCAATTATTGCACTATGTTTAGAATTTAGGCGTGCACGGTTTCTTGTCTTACTTTAATGCATGTTTAGCATTAAAGATTTGTTACAACAAAGTAAATCTTAGCTTTAGTTAATATTGCCTTTAGATTTTTCTCCTATAAATAGGAGTTGGCAAATGAAATCAGATATCCCATTCAAAACTCAAAACATTTCTTTAAGCCTAAATTTCCATTTCTTCAAACAAACCCTTGAGTAATTTTCTCTGGTACTTTCTTTCACTCTCAAACAGTTTTTCAAATATTGGATATATATATTTGTTAGTTCATATGCCTTCCAAACTCAAAAAAGTAAGGCTTGTTTTATCTTAGGGGGACATTTATTTATACCGAAATAGTTTCTTTAGAACAATACAATTTTGTGCGACTCAAATATTTTATTTATGTAGCATTTTTTGAGCATTCTCCAACAATATTTATATACTTTGACATGATATCCAAGCATTTTGGCTTGTGGTGGTGTTTTGGGCCAGAGGTAGCCTGTAACGATTTATATTAACCCACTGAAACAGTGCTCCTGGGCTTGTTGTAGACCGAACAAATGATATAATTGAAGTATTGATAAATTATATTGTTGTGATCAAAATCCATTGGGCTAAAATTCGAACCCCAATGGACTTGAGGGAGGGTCTTAAGATGTATTGTCTTACATCGTTAGCGTGAAGAGAAGTGGCTCAATATATAACCTCTAAGGATCACCCCATTTAATTCCAATTGATTCTGAGATGAGAGCTCAAAGTGTATACTTTGACAGTTATATCAGGAACTAATATACTATAATCCTTTTATTAAGTGATATACAGAGCGAAAACAATATGGATATGGTAATAAACAGAATCCAACGATTTCACTAATTAACCAAATGCAGGAAAAAGAAAATGAAAACAACAAAAAACAAAACACCCGCATCACATGGCTGCAGGATAAGCCAAGAGCGCACATACATTTATAGAAAGGTTGGATTATTTCCCTACAAAAGGGCTTTGCGTGGCTTTGGAAAATGACTTCCCAAAATGACCCAAAATACAAAAGGAAAGCCTGCCTTCAAAGAAACAACAGTTTCATGCTAGCTGCCCACATGGCACATAATCTTGAGGAAGCTTCGTGCCACAATACTCAAAAGTCGCCCCAATGGCAAGATTACGTTCTATACCTTCAATGTCAAAGTAATTTAATTGGATGGCTTCGCAAAGACAAAGAGCAGCTTCAGGGACAGAAAATTTAAGAATACTGTCGCAGCATATTGACGTGGGTAGTTCGGCGGGATTACCATTAAAGAAAAGACTGCATCCTCCAAAGGTTTCGTTTAGTGCGCTTGTTGCTACTGGACAACTTGATTGAGGTGGTGGAGGTGGCGGCGGCAGAAGGGGTGACGGAGGAGGGGGTGGAGGAGGCGGTTGTGGTGATGGCGGAGGGGGTGACGGAGGAGGTGGCGGAGGAGATGACGGAGGAGGCGGTGGTGGAGATGGCGGAGGAGGTGGTGAGTGACATTTAGGTTTAGGAGATGGCGGGGGAGATTTTTTAGGTTTAGGAGGAGGAGGAGGCGAGCATTTGGAGTTATGCTTATCTTTATCTTTTGACTTTGACTTTTTACAATGTTCGAGTTCTGATGCACCACTACTAACCAAAGTTAGAAGAATAAGCATTAAGAGAAAGATGGCGAAGTTATTGAAGCCATTAGAACCATTTTAGTTCTATGAGTTCCAAGAGACCGTATATATCTTTAGCTTTGCTGGGATGGAAATTAACATCTAAGTGAGAGCTTTTATAGTGATCAATTAAGGAAGGAAGGATATGTATGTGCCTTGCGTTCAAAAGTGGCCCTAAATAAAGTGATGAGATGGTTCACTCCTTATTATATTATTATTATTAAGGAATGTATTTTAGTTGACAAAAAAACACATTTAATTTGAAAGATTCCCTCCCAACTTGCTACCTTCTTCCTTCGATTGAGACTCTCTAACCACAGTTCTTAAAAAAATTTATTGGATCTAGTGTGTGACCGCGAGTGTATTTTTCGTGTTTGTGTGTTTGTTTTCTTCCTTAGAAGAAAATGTACAATTTTGGTTTGATACGACGGGTGCATTAAAGGCAGATTACTTCAAGTAGTGCTCACAGTTCCCAACGGCAAAGACTTAATATATCTCATTTTGCCAATGCCCAAAACCATTGTTTCAATTAATTCAAAATTCAGATAAGGGAGAGTTAGAATGCCAGGTTATCGTAGACTGTAGAGGAGTATTATGAAGGAAATGTCACATGCGAGGCACCATGTTATCTGGACGGGATTTTAGAGATGATTTCTGCAATTCTACTCATTAATTAACATCTTCAGATCGAAGTCAAACCGCGAGTAAGTAATTCCCCAGATGAATTTTTGTTTCTAAACCATAATCATTATATTAAATAAAATAAAAGAGATACAACCACAAGAGTGGGGCTACAATAACTTACGGTTGAACTATTACAATCCATCGTACTTGCTATACATAACCACAGAATCAGTGATACAATTTCAAATTTGTGTATAGAGTTAGATCTAGCTAATTTGACAGGATTGTAGCAACATCACTGAATACAGAGAAGATTTACTAAAATTTATAAAGAGAACTCTATTTTAACAAAGGATAATCAGACTAAAATCTATCGAGACTAAAACTGCAGATTTGGCTCTGAGTCTCAGATATTTTGTGCCTAAAAGTCCTAGATCTGTTGTCATTTTATCCGTTGTTAATTTTAAAGCTCGTGTCCCTCTTCATCAACTGCTATAAACCTTTAGGCCTCTCTCTATTAGATCTGCTGAAAAACAATTACCTAAAGCATAAAAAAAAAAATAAAAATTGAAATTCTCTAAAAAAGAACGAAAACTTCTAAAAACTGAAAGAGACAGAGACTCTCAAATTGAGAGAGAATTACTTCTAACAAGAAAGAGCAAAAACACCTAAAAGGTAGGCTAATTTAGAACTGAAAATAAAATGAAACCTCTCCAATCTTCATTAATAAAGGAAGGGGGACAGGAAGAAAGAAAATTTTTTGAGAGTTTTAGAGAGGAGGAGGAGAACGGGGGTAGGGAGAGAAAGAAAGGGAACACTATTCCCCAGATGAATCATTAGTAGGTTAGTTGCCTTGTTGTGATTCTTTCTTTATTCCTCGCTAGCAATACGCCAATATAAGAGTCAATCTGGCTTTTTGTGTGACTAGTAATATAAAATAATTGTTCCCTAAGAATGTCAACCCAATATAGGCAAAGCCACCAGTTACTAGGGTTTCGAAATTCAATTTTCTTTTTAGTTTGTTTTATATATTATCACCAGTCGACATTTTTATTTTGATTAATCTAAATTGAAGTCAAGCAGACTTGAAATGTAAGTCGCGGGGGTGTTTAAAATTTGAAATTGCAACCATCAGATGTCTTTGGTCAACGCTATTGTTGGAAACCCTGATTCTAAATAGTACTTCTTCTGTCCTAAAATTATTGTCCACTTTGAGATTTCACTTTTAGTATAATTTGAATTAAAAATAAAAATTCAAATTGGACAATAATTATGGGACAGAAGGAGTAATTATTAGCCACTGCACATTATGTCATTTTATAAACATCTATCTCTATCTTCACATTCTTCGTCCTCATTTCTTTCTGGTAAGCTTTCAGTATCATTCATACAATTAATGGGGAAAAAAATCTGCGTCGCAATGTCAAACATGTGCTACATACGACCGTATTAGGCAAACCAATAATTTCTTGGGTTTAAAAATTTGAAATTCTTCGCAAATGGGGAGTTAGTGACTTAGTGTTTGATTCTGACATAGTGCCAGATCTATATTCCCTCCCAACTGCATATACTGTTGAAAGAAAAAGAAAAAAAATATTGGTAGGACACAAAGTATTTGTTAAATGCTTTGGCGGAGTTTTACAAGATTGTGGATCCACGCCCTACAACAAGTTCTTCTTGATGAAAGATAGTTCTTTGGAAAACCAAAAATGATCAATTGAGCAGTGGCGGCCCAACGTTTTTGGGGGCCAAGGTGAATTCTAAAATCGGGACCTTTTAATAATAAAAATATTAAAAAGAAAAGAAAAAAAATTTTAACGTTCATCCTTTTTTTCGGGGTTGGAACTGGCAACTATAAACCTGTGAGTTTATAGCTGGCGGAGTTAAAAAAGTTTTTTTTCCAAATATTATTCATATTAAGTTTTTCTTTCTATCATTTTTTAAAGTATTGCTCATATTAAATTTATTTTTCTAGCTTTTTTGGTTGTAAATTCTTTTATGAAAGTTTCATGATCTATCTCTTCCAGTAAGTCATTTTCTATTGATATAATAGCCAATCCATTTAATCTATCTTGTGACATTGTTGATCTTAAATAATTTTTTATTATTTTTAGTTTTGAAAAACTTCTTTCTGCTGAAGCAACTGTTACGGGAATAACTAACATTATCCTATAAGCAATATAAGCATTTGGAAAATAATTAAATCTTTTAATATAATTAAGTATATCTATTGGATTATTATTCTCCACATTTACATTTTCTCTTAAAATTTTTAGTTCATAAAATAAATCCAAACCTTCAATATCTAAACTATCATTGTGTGTTAACGAATTTTGAAGGTTAAGACAACTTTTTTCTAAATTTTTGTCATCAAGTGATTTTAATTTTTTCAAACTAAATAGAAAACCAAAAATATTTTCGTACATTTTAAAATTTTCGAATCTACATTGTAGTGATGAGATAATCAGTTTTTGGAGGAAAATTGATAGCGTTGTTATAAGAAAGACAGAGAGAGTAAGGAAGAGCTAATTGAGCGAGAGATGGGGGAGAGAGGAAAATAAAGAAGTTGACTTCACGAGTGCAGATGTGGAAAAAATGAAAAAATATGCACTGGATGCTAGAAATTGTTGTGGCAAAATCACCACACAAAAAAAAAACACTATTGATTTTACTTAATTACTTTCCCAATTATTTTGAAGTATAAAACACACGTGAATCAATAAATGTTGAGTGGTCTTTTTTTTTGAGCTACAATTGGTCAATATTTATAAATTTTAAGTTTTTTTTATAATATATATATATATATATATATATATATATATATTCGAGGACCCTTCTGATTCCGAAGTCTTAGGCGATAGCCTATTTTGCCTAATGGGAGAGCCACTCCTGCCTCCATCTCCACCACCACCACCTCCTCCACCGTCTCCATCTCCACCACCTCCACCGTCACCACCTCCTCCACCGCTTCCATCTCTGCCACCTCCACCGTCACCCCAACCCCCGCCGTCTCCACCTCCACCACCTCCACCGTCGCCACCGCCACCACCACCGTCGCCACCTCCGCCACCTTCAACAAAATGCCCAGTTGACATCCAAAATTTAGAAGTTTGTACTCCTTTGTTGAACAACGGTACCATCACTTCTGACACGATCCCCAAATGCTGCGACTTTTTTTTTCATTTTTATCATGACTATGATAGCGACTATCTTTGCGTATGCGAAGCCTACAAATTCGGGGTTTTTGGGCCGGTTAACATTACAGCTCCGGTTATATTTACCCCGATCCGCTAAACCTGCAACATACTGGTTAAAGATGTTATCGATTGTACGCTTTATCTCTTTTAACAAAAACCTGCTTTGTTTTGGGAGGGTTGGTGCGTATCTCTAATTAAGATCATGCGAGAGTGTGTTAATGAATTTATTTGTCCAAACTTTTGTTCCTTTCCTTCTAAATTTAAGTAAATTATCGTCATTTGAATCCAGCTTAATTGTCCAAAAGGCTGTTTCGTTCAGCTTAACTGGACACATTTGTTATAAAGCCATTGTAACATTTCAATACCATTTGTTGCTGTTGATTTTCGTGTTATTCATCAATGACTGTATCATCATTGTTAAGGCTCTTCTGGCGTTTCAAAATTTTAAGTACTCCCTCCGGTCCTTATTATAAGGCATTCTGGTGTCGTCCTAGGTTTCACCTAGGATTTATTTTTAATTAGAAAAAAACCTTAAATATATATTTTCTCATTCATTGTGTTCTCTTAATTATTATGAAATATTTTTAAAGTTTTTATTTCAATTAAAAATACATCTTAGGTGAAACTTAAGACAAAATCAAAATGCCTTAAAATAAGGACCGGAGAGAGTAATAATTATCGTCATTCGAATCCAATGTTTATTAATGTTCCACATATTTTACAACCCGCTCGCTGGCTTACTTAGTTACTAAAAGGCTGATGATACTACCAGGATAAATATTAGCATATAGGACAAAAAAAACATATATTGCCCTTATTAACTCAATTGCTCATTTACACTCTCCCGTCTCTCTTCTCCCTCCCACTCGGCCGCTCCCATGTCCTTACAACCGATTTCCCATGCCCACAATTTTAGTTGTTCTATATCATATTACCATCGATTCAATATGATCGATCATGATTTAGTCATCATCTTGATTTATACTTATATCTTGATCTGAGATCCGAGGGCAATCAAAATTCAATTAATCCATATCCAAGCACGGGATACCCCACTCTATGTGTGAGGACGAGCGTATTGACTAGAAGATTAATGAAAACTAAAAGAAATAAAGGTTCGTAGAAAAATAAAGATAATAATATGCATGTGATTATGAATTCTGTTTTTTTGCCGAACATGTAGATGAAGTAAATTTAGGTGGATTAAGAAAAGGCTGCATGAAATTTGGAGGTGAAGGTTTTATTCGGGAGATGGTGAAAAAAAGTTATCTTCACTGTTGAATTCTTCTTTTGGTGTATTGATTGTAATTCCATCACCTCGAACACTTTTAAATGATTCCCAAGAGTGATTCCAGATCCGGAAAAAATCCTAATCTTCATTAATTTTTGCATTAATTTTGTGACTATAAAGAAGAAGAAAAATCAGACCGGAGGAGATTGTTGGGTTGGCATATCGAAAAGCCTCTGCTCTGCTCTCACATTCATAAAAAGAGATTGAGATTTTCATATTTGGAGGAGAACGATAGTATTGATGGAAGGAGAGAAGGCCATTTAAGACGGAAACAATTAAGAGGAGTTGACCTAATAAGGACAGTATGGGAAGTGTGTGGCTTTTTTTTACTTTCAATGCTAATAGTTGTCCTGGTAACATCATCACCCTTACTAAAAACATCTGATACGTACCCACGAACATGACAATTTTTCGGGAGCATGAAACAAATAACATGACTACTTATATTAATTCTTCATTTAAAAAGATTATTTAGGCAACTTTTAGTCCAAGCAATAACAAATTTTGAAACTTGGTCGACTATGAAATATTTTTTAATGAATTACTGTTGAGTATCCCACATCAGTGGTGGGAGAGATTTGATATCAATATATAAGTTTATGGGCTACTCCCTTAATTGTCAATTAATTTTAAGGTGGAACCCTATGGGCTTTTATCCCACATCGATACTGGTTATCCAATCATTTTTTTTTTGTTTGGAAGAAATCATTCTCCAATACGCTAATACTGGTTATCCATTTTGTTTATCCTGCTTATCCAATCATTTTTTTCCTTTGAAACTAGGTTATCCAATGTGTTCGTAGTGATTATCCAATTATTTTGTATTGGTTATCCAATTATTTTAATTCCTTGTCCAAATAAGTTTGCATTACTTGTCCAATCTTTTTTTTTTCTTTTTTTTTCTCTCAAGAAAATATTTTTCCAACATGTTCGTACTGGTTATCCAACTAATTGGTACTGTTTATCCAACTGCTTGGTACTGGTTATCCAATCATTTTTTTTCTCTCCTCCTTTTTATGAAAATACTTGTCCAGTTCCTTTGTACTGGTTATCCAATTATTTTCATCGTTTGTCCAAATAAGTTTGTACTGCTTGTCCAATCATTTTTTCTTTGTCTTGATAAAATGCTTGTCCAATGTGTTCATACTGATTATCCAACTCCTTGCCATTGCTTCTCCAAGTATTTTTTTATTTTTATAAAAATACATGTCCAATATGTTTGTATTGATTACCCAATTAATTGGTATTGTTTATCCAACATAGTTTTTTTTTCTTTTTCTTTTTTTAAAAAATGGTTGTCCAATGAGTTCATCGTAATTATCCAACTGCATGATACTGGTTATCCAATCATTTTTTTCTCTTCTCTTTTTCTGAAAATCCTTGTCCAGGTTTTTGTACTAACTATCCATTCGTTTTATATTGGTTATCCAATCATTTTCACTGATTATCCAAATAGAATCTCTTTTCTTTTTTTTTTCTTTTGAGAAAACATTTGTCTAATGTGTTCATACTAATTATCCAATTTTTTGGTGATGGTTATCCAACTTTTCTTTTTCCTTGCTTTTATTATGAAAATGATTGTCTAATTTTTTTGCACTGATTATTCAACTATTTTGTACTGTTTATCCAATTATTTTCATTGATTATCTAAATTGTTTGTAATTCTTATCCAATTATTTGTTTTGTAAAAAGTGATCGTCCAATGTGTTAATAGTGATTATCTAATTGAATGCTACTACTTATCCAACCATTTTTTCCTTTTCTTCAGCTGTTGGATATTCACCATTAGAAGAGAGAGAAAGTACTTGTCCACAGTAAATGACAGAGAGAGAATCCTTGTCCTGAGAAAATGATTGTCCAATGTGTTCATACTGATTGTCTAATGTGTTTTCTTCAAATTGAATAACCAGTATAAACCAAATAGATAATCAATTCAAACTGGTAAGATAATCAGTTTAAACAAAATGGATAATCGGAAGAAACATATTGAACATTGATTTTCTAAAAAAAAAATATTGGATAAGCAATAAAAACAAAATGGATAATCAGTTTAAACCGGTTGGATAATCAGTATGAACATAATGGATAAGCATTTTTAGGGAAAAAAAAGTATATTCCTTGAATTCTCCTCATAAAATTTAAATTCGTTTAAAGTTCAAAAACAATTTTAATATTAATCTTATCGGAGTAGATTTCGTCAAGTACTATAAGTTTCATATATAATTCGTTTTCTAATTCTTTAACAATTAAAAGATATAAATAACGCAAGAATATCGATTTAAAATAAGTTGGTTATCCATTTTCGTAAACTGGATATCCATCCGAATAAACATACAAATTTCTTCATTTCTGCCCATCATAATTTAGTCATTTTTAAGTTCGAAAAAAATATTCGATATGGATCTCGAAGAGAACAATAAATTTTACTTGTGTAACACGTTTTCTAATTCTTCAGGGATTAAGAGACATGCTCGTTTAAAGATCAGAGATGTTTTTCCAGAAGAGAGAGAAAAAATGACAAGGGCTAAACTTGCAAAGTATAGGATGTTATTTAGAAGAGAGGGAAAAAAGGTAATAAGGACTAGTAATGCAAAAAAATAGGAGTGAGTATATCATGCTCCCGGGTACACTAAATATTAAGAAATATTAAGAAATTTTTTTCAAAAGACACATATCAGTCAATTAAGCCATAAATAATTTTCAAATACACGTGTCACCTTTTCATTCGTTCAGAATTTTTTGTAGTACACATGTCATCTTCTAATTCGTGAATTTTTTAACTGGTATTTTGTAAAAGTAATATGGTTATTTTAAACACGGTAAAATAGTTATTTTCTCAAAAAAATAACTTTCTCCTTATAAGAAATTGACTCCAACAATCTCTGAATCATCAAAATGACCGAAAAATTATCTCCGGCCACAAAGATTTCCGAACACACTAATTTCAAATTTGACAACATCGCGGGCTCATCTCCGGCTGAATTACGAATAGGGCTTCTCTTTATCGTTTCCCGGCATTTCACTGCCATCACAGAAGATGTATAGAATCATTGTATTTGATTAAGATAGAGGCCATGGACAAAATCTTCAGGTAGAGAGAAAAAGTGATGATAATTGTTATGTTAATGGGGATGAGCCATGTCGTTTGCCAGGATGGAGGAAAAAGAAAAATGTCGTGGGATGGTGGGGATGGGGAGGTCGGCCGGCGGCAGAGAGAGGGGGGAATTGAAGATGAGGTAAATTAGGTTTTTTCTTTCTTAAATTTCATTTTTTTTTTCTTTTTCTTAAAAGATGTGACTTTTTTTGTAAAGAAAAAAATTATAGAGGGGATAATACTAAGAATATATAGATAACTTTTAGGAGAAAAACACTCAGATAATAATTCTATTATACTTTGACAATGAAAAGATAATAACGTATATAAACCTAAACTAGATGCTTGGCCCAGACAGATGCCCGGGCGCCCCCTCTAAATTACTATTTTATTAAAATCTAATTGAATTACTATTTTTTGAGGAATTAATTTGGCGTATATATCATTTATCCTATGGTTTGGGGCTTAAAAAAATATACTTATAAATCTGAGGTTATAAGGGAATAATAAATAATTAATTTATAAGGTATTATTCTTAATTGCTGAATTTAGGTATTTTTATTTTTTGTTTATATTAAGCCTGCAAAACTATATGATTGGACATTTGAATTTGAATTAATATATCCATTCGTTTGAAATGTGACTGATCCTTATTTGTAGTAAAACATGTGTTTTTTTTTAAAAAAAAATTATATAGCTTCTAATTAAAAGAGACTTACACGTGGTAAAAAGACTTCTGAAATATGAAATATGGTGCATTGGAGCCAAAACAGATGCATACGTAGTTGCCACATAAGTTTCATGTCTTCTGCTTTAATAGGGTAAAAGGGATGTGATTTGATAGCGGTTTTTTTTTTTCTTGAAATTTAAACTCAATCTGAAAATAGATATGAACTGATTTCATCCATATTTTCTTCTCCTCTATAAATATCAGAATATTTTTCAAGAGCAACTCCTTTCTTTCAGGCAATTGGTAAATTAAAAGCAATTTTGTTATATTGAACTTTCTATATTACCATCACTTAGAATTTTAAGAAAATTATCAAATTTATTTTTTCCCTTAATTTTCCCCATCTTTTCCTCGCCATTTATTCTTCTCCGCGAGTCCACTGCTGTTCCAATTCCTTTTTCAAGCATGTTAATTTATGGCACTTATAATCCATTTTTTACTCTAAAACCAAAGAACAACTTCTTAAATTCTATCTTTTAACGAATTAAAATTTCATTTTTTGATTGGTGGCTACCGATTTACACTCATCATCCCTTGTGTCTCAAGATTAGTTTTCAGGCCAATTGTCTCGACTAGAATAATTCTCTCTATTTTTTATTTCGATAACTGACAACACCAATTGCACTGTTTACGTCGATGAGCTTCTACTCTGTGTTCCAGTTTCCCTCTCTTTTTGGGGGTTGGATTATATTATGCGATTTTTTTATACTTTATTTTTAATTTTTTGTTTTTTTTTTTTACAGATTTTGCTAGAATCATAACATTTTATACGTTCTGTTTTGTTGAGTTTTGGCCTCCAATATTTGTGCTCTTTCATGTATATGCATGATTTTAAGAATTATAATTGGGTTTGTTCGATCCTGTTGCCCTTTTTTAGGGGAAACAAAGGAGGGAGGAAAAAAGGTCGTGGGGTTCGTTTCTGAAATTTTTTTCTTTTTTTTTTCAGAAAATAAAAACCCTTTAAATTTTTTTAAGAATAAGAAGCCATCTTTAACCTCTTCTGCTATTATTTCTGGAGAGAAGAAAACTTTATAGTATCATCCATCATCATTTTTGTACTTTTCTCTAATTCTCCCTGATAATTTAATTTACTCTGTGTTCTCTCTATTTTTTTGGCACCTTTGCTTGAACAAAAACTGGTGAAACCTTCATGATAAACTGGTGATGACATTTTGAACTTAAAAAAAAAAAACATTTAAGTTCCCTAATTTTTATTTTGTTTCAGTTAATACAAAGAGTTTTGTGCATTTTTTTTCTTAAAAATTACTTATTGCAACTATTGTGGTTGTAATTGAGTTTTTCATATAAAATTATATCTTTTAATACTTATGGGTCGTTTTTTATATTAAAATCTTTCATGGAGATTTAATATTATTTTAAAGTATAACACAATAAAACTAATTCTTTGCGCTGGCATGGTACTAGAAACTTCAAAAGTTGGGATGAATCTTTGAATTTTTTTTATAGTTTGGAATGAAATTGTATAATTTGCTCAATCTTGAGATTAATTTTCTCATTCCTCCCTTTTGGAATGGACGGAGTCATATACAACTCACAGTATCTCAAATGACTCTTTTTTTTTTTTTTTCATATTTGCAGGGTATCTACCGTCAACAACAGTGACTAATCTCTCTCGCTGAATTGTAAGCATCTCGATAGACCATAATAGGATTATAGGCACCTTGATAGACCTCGATAGGTGAGAGGGAGGGACAGCTGGCCAAAGTATTTAAGGTTGCTTCATGCCTATGTCGAGGTTCGAACCCTCAACTTATAGTTAAAGGTAGAGGAGTCCTTCCACTCTACCATAACCACTTTGCTTATCTTAAATGAATTTCTGCTTTCACAAATTGCGGAAAAATTCAAACATCTTTTTCCCTCAAAAAGCCCACAAACACACTGCCACAAGCCCAGACCATCTTTGATTAGTGAGTTTGATACAGATTTTCCAAACAACAGCGCAAATACATGTAAAAAATATGGAGTTCTCAAACTGACTGTTGGTAAAGAGTAAAGACTTAAAGAATAGAGTAAACACCATTCCAATTACAAAGTAGTGATAATTCAGCTTCCAGATGTGAAACTGCAGTTTTGAAGGTTTGGAGATATCAAATCACCAGAGTTCCATCACAAAAGAATGAATGTTAGAGAAATCATTAGAATAACACCTATATGGTTCTGGTCTAATTAATCGGGTTGTTTCATGCTTCCACAAAGCTAACTAATCAGTGTCATCTAGACAAAACTTTATGTTCTTTTCATCAAGTACCCCAAAATGATGCCAACCAACCCAAAGACGATGACAAAAGTTACAGAAACACCACCACGACTTTTGTTGCTGTCACGTTTCAAGAGTTCCTACAAAATATATTCGCAATTAGAAGAGACTCAAAAATTTGTTATCAAACCACAGAAGGTAATGCTATAATGCTATAAAGTTCTCTGACGTAAGCAGAAGGATAAAATAAAGTAACCAGCCACCTTCAAATTGAAAACAAAAAAAACACTACTACATATGTGTCCTCACCAAGGCAGGGTGAAAACATACAAGATTGAATCACTTCCTGGTTTATTCTACTTTCAACACTTTTTTAAGAAATCAGCTATCTCACAAATCACAATGTGAGAATAAAATAAACAAACCAACAAACTGGAAATGCATCTCAAAAGAAAGCACCCCAAGAAACAAGAGATACATGTTTAAAGGACGAAAACAGAGAACAATATATGAAACCCTCACCAGTTCTTGACGGAGTCTACTGCTCTGTTGAACCGCAGAATCTTTTTCTGCTGTTAATTTGGATATAAGAGATCTTGCCTGGAAAAAAGAAAAACATAATGACATTATATTAGGTCTGGGAAATGGACAATGAAAGTAGGTGGAAGCTGGAAGAATATGCTTGCAGGCATAACTCCAGAACAATATCAAGAACTTTCAGCAATCTTCCAAACCAGCTTAAACAAAACTGCATATAGTAAAATCTATTGAAACTTGAGATAAAGCAAATGCAATGAGAAATTGGCCTATAATTAACCACAACCCCACAGATATCCATTACAAAGATTAGCAAATCTTTTGGTGTCTGATAGCTAGAGAAAGAAGATGCTATCCTAAATTATGGGCATATTATATTATTTCAAGCAATCTAAGTTAAAAAAAATCCAAGTTTATTAAAAATTCCAGGTCAGAATAAAATACAACAGAATATGAAGCATACTTGGACATCCATAGAAGTAAGAATTGCTAAAAACAACATTCCAATAAAAGAAAGAAGACTCCTAGGAGTTTTACTACCCATCACATTTATCATTCACTTGGACTGATCAGGCCAAGAGAAATTATTACCTCATATGAACGGTCAGAGGTATCCAAATATTTTCTCGAAACCTGCATGTCCACAATAAGTTGTGTCTTAAATTAACATGGTACACAGATACTCTGGTACCGGAACAAAACACAAAGAGGGTCGACAATGTTAAAGAGATACAAAAAACCAACCTCAGAACCACTCAAGCTGCCATTTTCCAATACTAATGGTCTAGGAGAAGAACCCTCATCGGATCCCTCAGCAACTGGTGATGGTGGTTGAGGTGGAGCAACATAAGCCACTTTGAGTTTGCACTCTTCCACTAGCTTGCCAGCCTCTTTATTGAACTGTTAAAACAAAAACCTCTTAGATCAATGATCACATTCGTTCTCTACAGATCCTTTAATACTTCCGCTTCTAGCAATTTATACAGGTACACATCATCTGACCACAAACAACTCACAAAGAAACCAAGTAAAAGAATACCATTTCTGCAGTTATATCCTTTGCTGTAGTTCCTGGGCTTGCAGCTGCACTCTGAAGCAGAAATTTGTCTTTGCACTGCATGTCTGCTGGAGGTTCCTTTAAAGCTTGCATTGTAACTACAAAGACAGAAAAACATGCCAAATTGGATTCTCTTTCACTCAAAGTCTATCAAAATATATTTACGCTTTGTGCTGTATAAAAAGAATAGTAAATAATAATTAAGATTGCTAATTTGCTATGGTTCAACCAGCAAGGAACAAATATTCAAAGGAAGAACAATTTGGACCTAGATTTTTTCTAACTACACTGGGAGCGTATATAGTTCAAAAAATGTCCACATTCAACAAATGAAGGGCGAGAGCAACTTCATTAGTCTGCATTAGTCTACTCTACTCTCTAAATAAAATCAAACACAGAAACACACCCCAACCAACAAAGTAACATCAGAAAGAAAACAAAAACTTTCTCAGGAATAATAAAATTTGGGGAACGGAACGAGAAAGGGGGGGGGAGGAATTCCAAAATTGAGCATTGATACTACTTCAAGCCTATAAACAATCTCATACAAAGATAAACAGAAAGAAAGAAAAAAGAAAATTACTTAAAAACGAATTACATATATATATGCATAGGAAAATGATTTACAACTACCTATAACGTCACATGTTGATCTCGGCGAGACAATCCCAGTGTTTGGTCGAACACAATATTTCTTCGGATTCGTGGTTTTAACCTTCGGCACAAGAGGAATAATTTCACAAAATCAAATACAGAAAAAAGATTCAATACATTAATCGCAAATGCAGCAAAAATAAATTCCACATTTTCGATAACAGAATCAGGAAAAAAAAAAAACCTTAAAGGCGACATGGTTTTCCGTTTTGTTCAACAATTGAAACGAACAACAGATCTGCTTCTTCAGCTCAACTGAAAATCCGACGAAAACAAGGATTTAGATACATCTCAAACAGACTAACAATGAAAACAAGAAACAGAGATTGGGGAGTGAATTACGAGGAAATTTGAGCTCCAAAGGTTCGATATTGAGAAGTTCTCCACTCATATTTTCCTCTGTTCTTCGCTTTTTCACCGATGAATCTCCAAAACGAAATAATCGGACCAAATGAATTCGATTAATCAAAGGGGGAAGAAGAATCAGTGAAAATGCAAATGCAGTTTCTCCTCTTCTTTGTTTTGATAATGTAAATTCTGAAATAAAACTGTGGGAAGTTTGTTTTGCTAGAAAAATTTTTGGGGGTGATCCGATTTAGTCTCAAGTGGGAGGGAGAGGGAAAAAGCTGCTTAAAGGAGTTATTATTATTATTTTATATTTTCTATAATTCCTGAAATGAAAATAAAAATGACGTCAAAAGTTGCCAATGAATTGTTTGATGCCATGTCAGCAACTACTCGTATATACTAGTACTCCTATGTTTTAAGTTCATGGAGCAACATTGACGGTGTGATTCTCAACAATTAGTTTTTAATTCGCAACGATATATCCAGTGAATAATTATAGTGAAAATATATTAGTGACATATAAAAAGACAAATACATCATCCACTTACTAAACATGTCTATTTATTAATTAAGGGAAAAATATAATTTTAGAGGAAAAATAAAATTTCAACAAGAAAGTAATACATCATCCACTTACTAAACATACCTATTTATTAATTAAGGGTAAAAATATAATTCTGAGAAAAAAAGTAATAAAAAACTGCGCGCCATGATTAATCCATATCAGTCACTATATTTTGTCACTAGTTTTATTCACTATGTATATCATTTTCCTTTTTTAATTAAGAGAATTAAATTAGTGTCGTATTGGCATTTCTATGTCGTAATATTTCTACAGTTGAAGGCTTGCAGCACTAAATCATGATGAATGATATTGTCGGGTGTCTGTTTTTTATCTTACTAGATGTTAAACCCGCACGATGTGCGGGGTTTATTTATATACATTTTTAAAAAATCATAAGAAATATAAAAGGTGTAGAATATATTTGAAATTTATATTAATATATATTATATAAAGATAAAATATTACGATATGAAATGCAAGTATTGAGTTAATGGAAACATAAACCTTTGTTCATCCTTGTAATCATCACCTCCAACTTGCTTGTTCTTCTAATTTTTCCACACATCTGCATAATTGAATTAAAAGAAAAATGATCCAAACATGTTAAGGTATAAATAATTACAAAAAAGAATTATACCTTTCTTCTTCATATGAATACACAGGCAGTCACAATTTTGAGTGAAATATCAATAACTGATTGAGTCTTATATAGGTAGTATATGGGATATGAGCGCTCAAGTGTGTTTGGTATAAATGAGATTTCTTTTTTAAATTTAAGTGTGATAAGTAATAACATTCCAAATTCAAATTTGATAAAATAACGTAATTGATGGAACCGGATAGAGAGGAATCATAATTTAAGTTATTTATGGTCGTTATATACAATTGTCTTTATTAGTTTTGAATGTGTAGTTGGGAAAATGAAGTAGTTTTAGGGATTGATTTCCATTTATAATTAAAAGCAAAAAAATATCACAATGGCATATTAATTAATTTTGAATTCAAAAAATATCATTTCCTTAATTGGTTAGGAATAATTTACGGATGACAATAAAATTTTCAATTTTAAATTAATGCGGAAATTTAGTTTACGGGCTTAGTTTTTCCTCTTTTTAATTACTTTATAATTTGAGGACTCATTTCTAATTTTATTAAGTTTTTTTAAAAGAGGTTTTATAAAATGACACAAGGAAATTTACAATTAAAGAATTATTGATGATTTTGCATTAATTATTTTTGAATTTTAAAGAATCATTAATATTGTTTATGATCAAATCAATATGTATGGGAAAATAAAGTAGTTTTAGGGATTGATTTCCATTTATAATTAAAAGCAAAAAAAAATCACTATGGCATATTAATTAATTTTGAATTCAAAAAATATCATTTCCTTAATTGGTTAGGAATAATTTACGGATGACAATAAACTTTTCAATTTTAAATTAATGCGGAAATTTAGTTTACGGGCTTAGTTTTTCCTCTTTTTAATTACTTTATAATTTGAGGACTAATTTCTAATTTTATTAAGTTTTTTTAGAAGAGATTTTATAAAATGACACATAGAATTTGCAATTAAAGAATTGCTGATGATTTTGCATTAATTATTTTTGAATTTAAAAAAATCATTAATATTGTTTATGATCAAATCAATATGTATGGGAAAATGAAATAGTTTTAGGGATTGATTTCCATTTATAATTAAAAGCAAAAAAAATATCACTATGGCATATTAATTAATTTTGAATTCAAAAAATATCATTTCCTTAATTGGTTAGGAATAATTTACGGATGACAATAAACTTTTCAATTTTAAATTAATGCGGAAATTTAGTTTACGGGCTTAGTTTTTCCTCTTTTTAACTACTTTATAATTTGAGGACTCATTTCTAATTTTATGAAGTTTTTTTAAAAGAGGTTTTATAAAATGACACATAGAATTTGCAATTAAAGAATTGCTGATGATTTTGCATTAATTATTTTTGAATTTTAAAGAATCATTAATATTGTTTATGATCAAATCAATATGTATGGGAAAATGAAGTAGTTTTAGGGATTGATTTCCATTTATTATTAAAAGCAAAAAAAATATCACTATGGCATATTAATTAATTTTGAATTCAAAAAATATCATTTCCTTAACTGGTTAGGAATAATTTACGGATGACAATAAACTTTTTAATTTTAAATTAATGCTGAAATTTAGTTTACGGGCTTAGTTTTTCCTCTTTTTAATGACTTTATAATTTGAGGACTCATTTCTAATTTTATTAAGTTTTTTTAGAAGAAGTTTTATAAAATGACACATAGAATTTACAATTAAAGAATTGCCGATGATTTTGCATTAATTATTTTTGAATTTTAAAAAATCATTAATATTGTTTATGATCAAATCAATATGTATGGGAAAATGAAGTAGTTTTAGGGATTGATTTCCATTTATAATTAAAAGCAAAAAAAATATCACTATGGCATATTAATTAATTTTGAATTCAAAAAATATCATTTCCTTAATTGGTAAGGAATAATTTACGGATGACAATAAACTTTTCAATTTTAAATTAATGCGGAAATTTAGTTTACGGGCTTAGTTTTTCCTCTTTTTAATTACTTTATAATTTGAGGACTCATTTCTAATTTTATTAAGTTTTTTTAGAAGAGGTTTTATAAAATGACACATAGAATTTGCAATTAAAGAATTGTTGATGATTTTGCATTAATTATTTTTGAATTTTAAAAAATCATTAATATTGTTTATGATCAAATCATTATGTAATGGTATTATTTAAGCCAATTGGATAATTTTTCTAATCAATCAGATTTAATGTTAAATCAAATAAATATTTACCTTTTTATATGACACTTAATGAAAAAAACCATTAATGTTGATTTTTAAAAAAAGTTTCCGTTTTCTTTTTCATTTCACCAAATATAAAATAGAAAGTTTACCACACAATTAATTGATATACTTTAATTGCGAATTGATAATAATTGTTTAACTGAGAATTTAAAGGACTATTAATATAATTGTTGTAAATTTTTTTTATGTCAACCTATAGGAAAATGACGCGTATAATTTTGTCCTATGTGTCAACGTGAGAAGAAATTTAATTTTCTCTCTCTGGTTTTTTTCTTGGTATAATATATATACGATAGATTTCTTTTGGTATAAGAATTATCAAAAACTTTAAAATGGACATACATTTCACACAAAGTAATTCTTAACCGATTTGTTTGAAATTCTCTTACAGACGGAAAAAGTCCCTCAAATTAATGTTTGTTTTTAAGGGAGCTAAGGTCAGAATTATGAATATATCATATATGCAGCATCATTGAGTTGGGAGAACCTATACATATTCGACCACGAGAAATAGAGAAAATTAAAGCAACCAACCAACTAATATTGAATTATTGATAGAATGTAAGTATAAATTGTTCTTTTTCATCTCAAACTTTTTGTCTAATTTTTATTTTTAATTTAAATTATATCAAAACAAAATACTTAAATTAAACAATAATTTTACGACCGAGGGAGTATCATAATAATACTCAAAGGAAAAGATCCAACATTTTCTTTCTTTCTTTTTTTTTTCTTTTGATAAATTTTTGTTCTACAATGCTCACCTTTCCTAGCAAATTAAAAGAGGACACAACAGTTGGCAGTCATGGAAGCAAATTAAAGCTTTAGCGTGCAGCATCATCGGCCCAAATCTCCGTCAATTTATGGTCAAGTAAATCTCAGTAATGGCGTCACCCGGTACAACTATCTCATCCGAACCACAACCATGATTGGAAATATGAAATAATTGCCACAATAAAAGCCCTCCGTTTTTGTATTTTGATTATTGTTTTGTGTATATTGCTAAGAAGATGGTGATTTTCTCTTGTATGAAATTTGGGACTTGAATTGCTTGTGTATTTTAGGATGTTGTGGATAGCATTACTTAGTTCACTGCTTTTAATTTACTACTCTTTCTGTCCCTCACATTGAGTTTAATATAAATTTCAAATTATGTGAATTATTTTTTGAGATAGAATGAGTAGATTGTTTTGGCTGTTAGATTTATAGTAACATTTGCCTTCTTTTGTTTTTTTTTTTTTTTCGGTTTGAAAAGGAACATATGTAGTTCATCAGTTTTGTGTTTTTTTAGGAAACAAGATAGGATATGATCTCTATTAGAACATGTGGTATGGATGGTTAGGTCTTCTAAACTTCAAACCATTTTAAGTCTTCCATTCTGCCAGTCAAAATTCTTATAATCATTGGGCCTTATAAATTTAAGGATATGAATTCAATATAGTTAAAAATCCTCACTCGGTTCGTTTTTTCAAATAGAATTTTTATTCACAAAAAAAGATCCTTTTTTCTTTTCTTTCTTTTTTTTTTTTTTGGAAAAAACCAATTATTGTCTCTGACTTTAATTCCCGTAACTTGTAGAGTTAGTTACACAGAAGTATGTTTGTTGTTGACTATTTTCTTTTAAACCAGGAACATAAAATCGAAAAAAGAAATGACAATTCCTTTTGCATATGTTTTACCCCAATATCTCAAGAAACTAAACGTTCTTGTAGAATTACTACTTCCATGTATCATAAGGAATTTCTTTTTTTCCCTCGACTGGATTTGCCTCCACCAGAAGTCTGTTTTTGGTTGTATCACGACATGGAAGGAGTCTCATACTCCCGTGGTATGGCTGTTTCATCTAGTAATTTGGTATACAACTCCCTTTTGATAAAAAAAAAACAAAAAAGAATTTTTTTTCCCAACTCTCACACATTTTTTCACATTCTCAATAAACATTTTCTGAAAAGGATTACCATCCAATTCCACGCGACATATAATGAGCTGCTAAAGGAGTCAAACATAGCTAGTTGAAGTTTCGTCAAATCTAGACATATACGTACAATGTTGTGCCCTGTAATAATTTAATATAATTTGGGAGAGATTACATTTTGAATGTCTCTTAAAATCTAAATAGTACAGTACTAACTTCAAACTATAATTCAGGCAGATTCCACCAATTACTATGTTTTCCTTAAATTAATTTTTTTTTCCGGTATACTAAGTTGGATAATGTAACAAAGAGGGAAGACAAACCACATGCCAATCTTTGATTATCATATGTATATGTTGATCTTAGATCCATCGTGCATGATGCATGCATGGTTAGTGTGAAATGATTTTAGTGATTTGGTCATTATTGTAATAGGATTAATTAGGATGATTTGATTGTTTACAGATCAGGATTATTTATTTGATTGACAATCAACTTTATGATTGTCTATGTAAATTAGGAAGGGAGCCAATTTCTTGTTGTATAAATAGCCCACAGTACAGAAAGGAATATACAATCTTTTAACAAAAACCAAGGCAATTTATCCAATATACCCAGGGGCACCGTGCTCCCTTCCTATTTTTTGCATTTCTAGTCCTTATTGTACTTTTTTTTATCAATCTTTCTATATTTTGCATGTTTAGTTCTTGTCATTTTTTCTCTCTCTTCCAAAAAAAACATCTCTAATTTTTCAACGAGCATATCTCCCAATCCGTGAAGAATTTGTGAACGAATTATATATGAAATTTATAGTACTCATCGAGATCTATCTAACAAAATCCATAGTGAATATTTTTTCGGGTTTAAACATGACTTAATTCTGATGGACAGAATAGGGGTGGATATCCAGTTTTACAAGATGGATAACCAACTTGTTCTAAATTGGTTATCCATTGTATTCATGTTGATTATCCATTCAGTTTGAACTGGTTATCCATTTTGTTTCTACTGCTTATCCATTTGGTTATCCAACTTCTTAATTCAAAATAAGTTGGTTATCCATCTTCTTAAACTGGATATCCAATGTGTTCATATTGATTATCCAATGCGCTAATACTGGTTATCCAATGGATTTACATGCTTATCCAAATTATTTGTACTGGTTATCCACTGTGTTCATTTTGATTATCCAACTTGTTTGTACTGGATATCTATCCATTTGGTTTGTATACATATCCAACTCTAATCTTTCAACGAGCATATCTCCCAATCCGTGAAGAATTTGTGAACGAATTATATATGAAATTTATAGTACTCGTCGAGATCTATCCAACGAAATCCACAGTAAACATTTTTTCGGGTTTAAAAATGACTTAATTCTGATGGGCAGAATAGAGGTGGTTATCCATCTTCTTAAACTAGATATCCAATATGTTCATATTGATTATCCAATGTCAAAAATATGATTGGATAACAAGTACGAACAGAATGGATAATTAGTTCAAACCGGTTGGATAATCAGTAGGAACACAACGGATAACCATTTTTCAAAGAAAAACGAAAAACACATTTCTTCATTTCTCAATATAAATTTCATATATAATTCGTGTTATAATTCTTTACGAATCAAAAGATACAAGGAACACAACAATATGAATGTAAAATAAGTTGGTTATTCATCTTCTTAAACTGGATATCCAATGTGTTCATATTGATTATCCAACTTCTTTGTGTTGGTTATCCAGTATTTTTTTTTTCGTTGCTTTTTTATGAAAATGATTGTCAAACTTTTTGTACTGATTATCCAACATGTTGCACTGATTATCCAATTATTTTCTATTGATTATCCAAATTGTTTGCAATGCTTATCCAATCATTTTTTCTTTCTTTTTTTTTTTTTTTGAAGAGTGAATGTCAAAAATATAATTGGATAACAAGTACAAACAGAATGGATAACCAGTTCAAACTGATTGGATAATCCGCATGAACACAATGGATAACCAATTTAGAACAAGTTGGTTATCCAAATTGTTTCAACTGGTTATCCACTGTGTTCATTCTGATTATCCAACTTGTTTGTACTGGATATCCAACTTGTTTGTACCGGATATCCAACTTAATTCTGCCCAAAGAAATTTGATCATTTTTAAGTTGGAAAAAAATATTGGATATGGATCTTGTTGAGTAGATCTCAACGAGTACTATAATTTTCATGCATAACACGTTCTCTAATTCTTTACGAATTATGAGATATAATCATTTAAAGATTAAAGATATTTTTTAAAGGAGAGAGAAAAAAAGTCATAGAGACTAAACTTGCAAATCATAAAAAGATTGATGAAAAATACAATAAGGACTTCTCGTACAAAAAATAGACGGAGGCACCGTGCCCCTGGGTATACTGGATACAGCCTCAAAACCAAAGCCACATGTCTGACTTTTCTTTTATTGTAATAGTTAGTAACTGTAACTAAATATGAGCTGCGATAAAACTGATTCTTCTTCTTCTTCTTAATTGCCAAAATACGAATGGTTAAGGACCTCTCTCTCACAATTTCTAATTAACTGGAACCCACGAGGCCACGACTACGTATTCAAAAGCCAACAGGTATTATCGCTTAATGCCTGACAGCCCTTGCGGGTTAACTGAAATGCGAAAATCAAAGGAGCTGTACTGAATTAGGCCAGTATTTAGCATTTTATTGAATTTAAGTATATGTTATAATTTGGAAAGGACATAGTGGCTTGGGCCTTTGACATTGGCAGGCGCCACCATGTAAGTGTTGGTTCTTTATTTTTCTTTTTTTTTTTGGAATATATATATATATATATATATATATATATATATATACCACATTGTCTATTGTGATGTGCCGTGGTTATTCAGTTCATTGAATTATAAGAATCTCGTTGATGCGTGAAATAATGGGTAAAAAGATTTAAAATTGCTCTATTTACATAATACATTTAGACGTTTATCCATCAAAAGAGATCTTTCCACTCCTCTACAATTATTTGTTCGATAAGGTTATTTATGTCTATGAGTTTCTTAGACTGAAAAGGTTGGAAATTTTTATTCTTTTCTTCATTTTTCCCCCCTGCATGTTGATATTTTTATGCATTTCGAGAGCTGTCTCCAGCGGATTTTCGTGATGCTGAAAGAGATCAGATGAGCATATACCCCAAACATAACAACTAATAATAATAATAAAGAACACATAGGGGGCCAGTGGGTTAGTTTTTCAATTATTTAGTCATTGTCGATTAAAAAAATTGATTAGTAATAAACATTTAGTTCAAGTGGGGTAAAATATTTTTTAAAATTTCGAAATAATTACATGTTCATTCGTATAATTTTATGGATTAACTCAAGTTTAGTGGGGAGCAGGGAATGGATGAATTCCACATCGGAGGAAGGGATATTGAGGGACAACGAGAATCATGAGGATATGAGTCAGACTCTGATCAACTAAATCAGAGGGAATCAATTCAGATTATTTCATTGGACAATCGTGCAAAGTGATTAATGTAGATGTCGATATCTAAACTAATACGATTTGGTGTATTATTTTATCTTAATTCTTTTTCTTTTCCACTTTTTCTGTTTAATCCAGTACTATTTGCATACACAGTCCCTTCGAGTTCGAGTTCGACCATTACAAATTCACAGTTGCGGGAGAAGAGCTAACTTTTACAGCAAGTAATCACGGATATTTCCACTAGATGTATCCTAATTAGAAACTGTCAAATATCGGGGAGGGGAGGGGGGAGGGGGGTGTTGAAATCAATCAGATTAACTACCAATTTAAGCATGATCCGCGTCGATATGTTAATTAATTTAAAAGTTATAGACATAAATAAGGAACACATATTTCATACGATTATTATGGGGTTATGATGTATAGAATAATGTAACTTGAGATATATCAAATGACATGACTTTGTAATTTCTTGGAAAGAAATGTGATAACGCAAAACAATCATTAAGCAAAAGAACTAATATTTTCAAGCTAAAAAAGAACAATGAGGATTAAAATGATTGAACTGCTAAACTGAGGGGGCTAAATGTGTGAACAACTTTTATGAACAAATCTCTCTACACTTACCCCTATTCGATAAATTCAACATGTGCGCAAAAGTCACCATTAACATACAGTTCTCCCTCTTTCTTCTCTCTCTAGGGCTGTTTGAAGTTGGATGCAAAAATCACTTCCAAGCAGAAACCCTTCTGGGTCAACAGTAGCTAGACAAACTAACAACAAAGGCTTGGAGACATTTTGTTGGTTGGTTCTCTCTGCTCTCTCTAAGCTTCTGAATCTGAGGTAACTTGCAAAGTCTGGATACTTATGGAAATGGTTCAGAGCTTGGTTTTGACTTCTTTTTTTTTGTTTTTTTGGATGGTTAATCTTTATATATGTGCTAAGCTAGCTAGCTCCTCAAATGATTTGACTTCTATGCAATGGGATTTGTGTTAAGTTTCAAGAAATGGTTGCACAAAATCTTCAAGGGGGATGGCGAAATTCTTCTAAATATAATTTTTTTTGAAAAAAAAATTAAGGGCTAATGGTCGTGATCTTGTTCTAGTTCCGGAAAGGTTCTCTACAAAGAATATCTAATGGATGTTGCTTGGAATAATTATGCAGAGATTAATTTGGGTCATATTAATTTGTACACTTCGTCTTGCAGGTTGTCATTAATAGATCGAGTTATACACGCATGAATCCTCTCCAAGATACATGGTCTTCATTTTCTCCAGTAAGATCGATGTCACAATATAAGAAAATTTGTATTTTGTTTGGTGATTTTGCTTGTGTTTGAATCAATTCTGTGATAGTTTAATCTTGTATTTCTTTTGTTCTAAAACGAATGTTCAGTTTTAAAATTTATTTATAATACAAAGTGCTTATTTTGCTCAATTTCTCTAACTTTGGAGATGTTTTAGTTTTAGTTTTATGTCGTCTCTCATCACCGTAAATACTTTACGGATAATTATTTGTAAATACTAATAATTAAGTGCAACTGATCATTTCTCTGAGGTTGAAGTATTCTCCCGTCCCAAAATTATTATCAAGTTTGAATTATAATTTTTTTGTTCAATTTGTACAAAAAAATGAAAATTTAAATGGAACAATACAGAAGGAAGGAGTATTTGATTGTGAATAACTCTAATTTTGACTAGGATTCATTTCTGGAGGATGATCTGATGAACTCCATCCAACCTGATTTGGAGATGAACCAAAATTACTCTATTGATCAACCAACAAATCAGTACCCTTCCTTTCCCAATCCTCCTGAGATGCCTTCCTCTGCAGAAGCTCCGTTTAAGGTTACTTTGACTTTCACCAAATCTGGAAATCAGAAAACAATACTATTTGGAAAGCCCACTTCACCAACTTCATCTGCACCCTCCCCATTTATTTCTTTTGGCAGCTTAAATGGAATGGCAAAAAACAGTACTAATGTTATAAAGAAAGAATCTGCAGAGACAATTTGCTTTAAGAAAATGGATTCCTCCGGAAGCAGCAGTTGTTCTTCATCATCTTTCTCGGAAGAAAAGCAACAATATTGGGATGTTGATCATGATGATGATGATGATGATCAGTTCTTAGGTGCTTTGAGTGATAAACCAATGTCTGTTCAGAGAAATACCAGGACGCCATTACAAGCGAAATCTCATGTTGTTGCTGAAAGGAAGAGGCGAGAGAAGCTGTTGAAGCGATTTAAGGATTTGTCAGACTTGATTCCTGGCCTAAAAAAGGTACCAAAAAGTTACATGCCTTTTGATTCTCATGTTAATGTTCCACTTGGTTCAACTATTTTGGTTTAAATCTTCATTCTTTGAATGGATCTGAAAGAAGATCTTACTAGTAGTTTTAGATTAACTCTCCCAATTAATAAATGATATATGTTCATGATTTGTTTAATTAGTAGTATTCGCATATAACTAAACATCATTCAAAAAGAAAAAAAATAAAATAAATAAAAAATCAATAATGTTCTAATGCATCTTGAGTCGTATTTGAACCTCGATCTCCGTATTGAACTACAAGAGTAAGGTAGTGTAGATCTTGACCACCTAGATCACAAAGAAATTGGAAATCGGTTGTGTTGTTAATTTGACCGTACAAGATCACTCACTCTCTATTTGACATTTGTTTCCATACATGTGTATATATAGTTGGATAAGATATCGATCATCAATGGAGCTATCAATATCTTGAAAGGATATGAAGACCAAATCAAGGCTCTACAAGAAGAGCTTGACGAAGAAAGGAGAAAAAGGGAATCGGTTCAAGATGATGCTCATGAGGAAAAGCCAACTGTTTGTTGTGATGACGATGATGATGTCGAGGCAGATTATCCCAAATAGAAAAAGAAGAAACTCCAAAATTAATGTGCTGGTTGAAGTCAAATCTCCCAATTAAATTTGGTTCAATGCATCAGTTTGTTAGTTCATTAAACTGAGGAAATTTTTATTCGTGCATGTAACAAAAGACTAAGGTTTTTTTTTTTTTTTGCTCTAAATTTTGGGGTGACTGTATCCCTATTTGGCATTGTCTGAGCCTTACAAATACAATTTAGTGTTGGTTGCGTCAAAGATAAGTGATGAACCAAGCCAAATTAAATCAGGCTTCGGTTTCAATCACATTTGTAACACCTGCTTTTACCAGTTGACCTTGATTTTACATTTTTGCTTTGAAACCGTACTAGTTGAAAATTGAAGCATTGTTTAAACCTTTTGAAGATGCATAACGCATGACAGATGAAGCACTATTTTTGTGGGACGGATGGAGTATTTTTTTTTTAAATACAATAGAGAAGACAAAAATTATTTTAGACACTCTCCTGTCCCACTTTATTTGTACCACTTTACAAACCTAGTTTTGTGTGTTTCTTATCACTCCACTCTCGTCGGCCAAAAAAGAGAATTAATCGGCTCCATCACAGCAAGCCGCAAGCTTTTAATCAAATATTAACTTTTTCTTGTCATCCTTACGACTCATCACTCATCTCCCTCTTTTTCTTTCTGTAAAACATCATCATGAAAGTTCAGAATTTTTAGCAAGCTTTAATCCCTTAAGAATTTCGGAGGAAAATAATTCTAGGGTTTTTAACATATTTAATCAACGAACCCCCTTAACAATAGAAAGAAAAGAAATGAATTCAAATCAGGAATTTAGAAAAAGAAATAGGTCAAGCTTAAGGCATTTTCATCAGTTCATTGCCCATAAATGATTCAATCACTTTCGAATCTAAAACCCCTAAATAGCTCAATTATGCCCGGAGTTAATTGTCGAGTAAAGATGCCCAAAAAAGCTTGTGCAGAGTATGATCACCCGTGGTATCATAACCACCCGTGGAATTCCGTTCACTTAAGGCGGATCGGGTCGGATTTAAGGGTGTCGCCAGGGGGAGAGCGGCGGCGGAAATTTTGAAGCAGATGATAATCAAATACTTCCTCCGTCCCATAATTATTGTCCAATTTTGTTTTCATTTCTAGTTCAAATTGTACTAAAAGTGAAATCTCAGACTGGACAATAATTTTGAGACAGAGGGAGTACTATAATTTAGTTTTGAAGAGGAAGATAACACGTTTAAAGGCTCTTTGACAAAATTCTTGTTATTAGTTAGATCACCTTTCAAGATGAAAGAGGATTCTGGATCTCATCCTCAATCCATGTTTTCTGCAAAATGGAATTCATATATCCGTTAGGCTTACCTCCTCGGCCATAGCTTCAAAAGTGAGAAAATGTTGATTGAAAAGAAAAAATTAGAAAATAATCATAAAGCTTGGGCGGCTTCATTACTGAATTGGAGCCGACTGTTAATTTTTAGCCTATGAATAAATTGATAAGAGAATATACAACACTACGTAGTTTAGTAAAGTGGGACAAAGATGGGACAAATTAAGTGAGAAAGGAGATCTCAACTCCTACTAATAACTGTATTCCCATGATCAATGATGTACTACTTTTTAAGCTTATCATTTTGGATTAGTTGGATGGAAGTATTTATCAAAAATCAAGTCAGTTCGGTGTACTTATTTTCAAACATCGATCAAATAAACCCAAAAGGCAAGACATGTTATAAAAAATAATGATATCAGCAGTAGTTTTCGATTATCAATGCATGATCACTAGTACTAGGTACTATTTTCAAAAAAATAAATTAAAGAAATAAATTCGATTGTCCCAAACGTAATAATCGAGCCTTAGATTTGTTGATAACAATATTTCAGGGAGAGATTTATTTTCTTCGAAAAACAAAAATAGTAGCTTTTTCTTACTTTAAGCAATTATTTACCCTTATAGCTTCTTAATATCAGTAATAATACATATAGAACCCGACAGAAACATATTCAGACTGACACATTAGAAGGGAAAACACGAGCACACACGGACACACATACACACGCGCGCGCGCGCATATATGACATTTTTATTGTCACGAAATAATTAGAAGACCAATTAATAATATGAACTCTCATTTCCGGTGCTCAGCAGAAGGTCTCTGAGTCTAGTGAGTTAATGGTGAAGCAGTTCAAGGACAGAGATTGTTACTTAAATCTAATTCCAATGGTGAAAAGGAAAAAGTTGAAAAGAGAACAGTGAAAATGATCATCTTAATTTCGAACTAAACCAGTGATTGATGAATCAAAGTACGTCTTGATCATTTCCAGATTTATGGCAATAGAAAAGTACTTTGCTTAATCAAAGTACCAGATCTTCATTTTGTTCCCGGAAATGAAAACTACGTAGCAAAAGTTGAAGGGAGATGGTAAGTTAACGATCGGAATAATTCCAAAGACATCTATATATATTCCCTTTGTCCTAAATAAGTCCCATAAAAATATTCTATATGTAATATGCTTATTTAGTTACTCCTTCCACCTCGAAATGATTATCCCTTTTGAATTTTTATTTTAGTACAATTTATACTAAAGAATAAAAAATCCAAACTGGATAATCATTTTGAAACAGAAAGAATATTACTTTTAGAAGCATGGAACGCAATGACTCCTAAACTTTCCACTGTGTACGATTTTGGATTTTTATTTTTTATATTTATGATAGAGTCCATAAATTGTGTTTTAATTGTTGATATTTTATTAATTTATGGATTCGGATGGATTTAATTCATTTTTTTGTTATTATTTCATGTTAGGAGTTGGAAATAAGAGATTGAAACTGTTTTGGGCAAAATATGGATGTCCAGGGACCTTTTTATAAAATTGAAGAAATTTTGGGACAAAAACAAAAAAGTTACAAAGTTGAGGGACCAAAGCTGCAATTCATCCACCTTCTGCTGTTTTCCTGCGGCTGACCTAAATTTCTATTATAAAGAGGATTCTTAGTTTTGTAAAAAGGCAGCCGTGCATAGGCCAAAGGCTTGCACCTCAAACTTTTTATTTCTTCTAATTTTTCTTGAATTTCCATAGAGAATAGAGCCATCATGCTTCCAATTATGAGTGGCTAAGTTTTCTTTTCTGATTTAAGGAATTTATTCAGTTATTTTATTATGAGGTTTTGTTTTTAATTTATTGTTCTTGCCTATAATTTAAGTATTTGTTGATTCTTGTATTGAGTTATGAAAATAGATATCATTCAAATTAACAACTTGATTTGTTATTTATTTTCTAGTGCTATCTGCTAGTTGAATGTTACGTAATAGACACGAACCGGCAGTACTGAGTAGCAATTAGACAAAACATGTGTATTGGTGAGACTTGAATATGCATGTTAATTTAAATGTGGATCAATGAGGCAAAGTCTGAATAGTTACAGCTATCTCAATTATTTAGATTTTGGTTCAACTATATTTCCTTGGTATTTATGCGGTCATTGTTTGGTATGGAACGCTATCGTACCCAGCCGAATTATGATAATGACTAATTGAGTGCTAGGCTTGGTTAGTTAACTTAGGGAGATTAATTGATTTATTACAGCTATCCTAATAGATCTTTGGTTGAATGCTTAAATTGCAAGAGTAGTTTTAGTAGCCTGTGATTAATGAAATAATTGAGTTATCCATTCCTTGAGTCAGAAGTATGTTACTTTGATTTCTTTTCATTTATTTAGTTTTTGTTATTTGAATTTCAATATCATAGATTTAGAACAATAATAAAAAATCCATCTTTGCATTAATTTGAAGGAAATAATCCATCGTTCCCTGAGGACACGACCTTACTTCTCTATACTACGTAGTTTGAAGTAGGTTAATTTATTTGTGTGGCTTGACATCCCATCAATTTACAATTTATTACTTAAAATGAAAAATTCAAATTGTTATTTTAAGACAGAAGGAGTATTATTTTGAGACGAAGGGAATACTACATGAGTACAAGTCCTAAGAATTCCACTCTGGGCGCAAGCAAGGACCTAAACTCTTCCAAGCAATTACTTCCTCATCAAGCTTTTTCTCCAGGGAAGATAGTTGCTCCCTATCGTTCATTTTACACGCTCCCTGAAACAACAATGTAACCAGACCTAAGTAGGCACTACTAATTAGAGTTAACAGCCAATTCATACACATGCAAATATAAATTATAAAAAGTTAAACAATCTTATTTACTGTCCGTACCTCACCAACTTCTGTTTGAATTACGCAATGCAAATTTCGATTAACTTTTGTTTTCATGCAGCTAACAACAGTCAAACCTTCATTCCGCAGCACACTCAGCACCCTCGACAACGGAAACCAATCATCATCGTCTGATAAATTGCAACTTATCAGAACCTCAATTCCACTTGTCGAGCAAGGCCTGATTTTGAACTCAACGTTGGAGGAAAAGCTTCTTAGCTTCTTAGCATTATTCTTAATATTGTCGGCGGATTTGCCAAACAAGTTCCTTAGCTTATCTCTCTTCAGCTCAAGTTCTCTAATCTCCTCCTTTTTGTGTTTGATATAGTTTTCAGCCTGATGAAGTTGATCCACCGTGCTGCGCTGTCCCTGGAACAAAATTTCAACGAATAAAAACACATACGTGCATCTTAGTTTCGAGTCACCTAGTTTAACTCATTAATTACCAACTTACAATGCTCTTGCTTGGCTTTGTAAAGAGAACTCATCTTCAAAATAAAGGAAGGATTAACAGAGAAAATATGTTTGCTAGTACTCCCTTCATCCCATATATAAAAGCCCTTATTCCGAACCCTTTTTTTTCTTGCTACCTAATAATAGTCATGTGTTACATGTTTGCATAAAATACTTCAAGAAACTTTGAAATTTTCGCCAGCATGATTTTAGTTTAGGGACTAAATTAATTTATATACCCAGCCGGGTACATGTTTGTTGTTTTCGCTTTTGTTTCTATCCAATTTGTAATATCATTGAATGGTGAAAACACGATATGTGCAGTAGGACTACTATTGTGAAAGGGGGTAATAGCTTTCATCACCTTTAAATATTCAAGAGGGAGGAATTTCCTTAGAGAAGCATAAAGATTAGCCATTTCTTGCCTTCTTTGACGCTCGGTGTCTCTACGAAAGACCCTTTTCTGGTGGTCATCAGCAGGTTTCTCATTGTCATCACCATCCTGTTGAATTTTTGATGACTTACTCACCCGCTTCCGCTTCTCTTTTGCCACTGCAGTCGGGGTACTACTTGTGGTGGCGACGGGGGCCTTCGTGGTGGCGGTTGCGACAGCTTGATCCCTTTTTTCTTGATGTTGCATTGAATTAAATACAAGAGCTGAATTTGAAGGTGGTATGGTAGGGTTTTGAAGATCTGGAAAGAGAGTGTGATCTAGGTGGGGAATGGTTGGGAATGTTGTGTCTTGAAAAAGGAAGGTGTCATCCATCTGCAAGTACCAAGGAATCAAAGTGTTATCCATGTTCCTTTGCTCCAAAGAAGATTTGCAAATCCTGGATTATTGGTCAATGATTAGTACTAATACAGATGATCTGATATATGTACATGATGTATATGATTCGGTACATATAAATACGACAAATATGTGTATATAATATGATGAACAAATAAGTTTGGTTAGGGTAATGAGTGAGGAAAATCTCTGAGAGATCTTATAAACAAAGAGATTTCACAACTCAGCAGTCATTTGTTTTAAACAATTTGTAAGCTTTTGATGGATTTGGAGATAATTAAGTTAAGATTCCAGCTAGCTGATCCAGCTACTTTTAGTTCACACACCTGTGATTATTCCATCTTCATAAGTGTTATTGCCTACAAATAAATAATTATATTGTTACTACTTGGTATGTTGCTTTAGCTTGACAAGTTGATTAATTAATTATATAACGAATTGCTTCTTCTTTTTTCCTGCTACAATGACGAGAAATTTACTGTACACACGAACATTTCGTGATTGACCATATTAGGTTTCAAACACATCATAACACCTCACCTGGACTCTTTGAAACCAACGAAGTCAGACAATTGATCAGTTGCAAAGTTTGATTCACTATAATTATTTACTCTTACTTTTAACGTACATATTCATGATCCGGCCACTGGTAACTCTTTTTAAAACATAACTAAATTCAAGACAAGTACTGATAGACATCCCTTATTTTATTAATTTTATCCGGTGATAATTAAATGTCCAATTTTGTCCAGGAAAGGAAGCTGATTTAGGTTATTATATATCAAGATGTCGAAGTTAATTTGGTATAAACTTCGTAGGATTCCACTTACTAAAATCAAATTTAACTAAAACATAGTATGATTTGTTGGCTTCACCTGGATAGCCAAACAGCCAAATGAAGAAAGCCATCCTGGGTTATTACTACCCTTCTAAAATAGAAATGGAAAATATAAACTGGGGGATTGAAATTTTTTCCTTCTATTGAAGGGTAAAACTCTATATCTAGGTTGAATAGAGATAAGTTTAGAAGTGGTACGTGGTCAGTTGACCGCTTAAATGAAAAAGTACTATTCTGAAATGATTTTCTAGTTTAATTTTATATTTAATATAATAATTTGTTCGAAAAATAAATTTCAATCATTTCAGAATAGAAAAAACGTATTAAATCAATGTAATCAATGATTTAAATATAAAAGCATATTGGGTGTACCTTAAAATCAATTACCAATAAGGAGAGTGTTGAAGTATTTGAATAAAGCAAATTTCAGCAGCAAAAGGATGACAATAGTAGTTGACCTTTCGGCTACGAAACCATGCAAAATGCAAGTTCTGCCTGTGATCGAAGCTGTGTCACCCACACAGGCTGAAGGAATGACTGTGATTCAGCATTCGTCACCAACACGCTTTCAAATTAGCCGCCAAAGGCAGCTTGATGCTGAGCTGGATGATTCAGTTAGAAAAAGGAAGGATTGGGAACCTCCTTGGAGTTCTCATGTTGCAATATTCTTAATTTGATTATACTGAACATTCTAGATTTGTACTGATGATGTAATTAGCAAAATTTTAGAATAGAAGTAGTATAAATGCAACACCAAGGACTTCATTCTGTAACTTAATCAATATATAGAAGAAATTATAGAAAGAAATGACTTCTTCTTTCTTCTTGTTCAAGCTTTTCTTATTTCTATTTTTGTCCTCATCAGCTTCTTTTCTCGTTTGATGGTATCAGAGCGGGTTTCACCTACCTGATCACCTGATAACTTCATCTTATTCTTCTCCCATTTTATGTTTTTTTTCATATCTAGATCTATTCTTGATCTGGAACTAGTTCTTGCTTTCACTTCTTGCTAATTCATATTTTTCTCAGTTTTTTTTACTGTTATTTTACTTCAATTCTCAGTCATTCTTGATTTCCCATGGCTCGTGAAGGAGTTTTGATGGCTACAGAGAACGAACAGTTGGCACTTCATGGATCTGATTATCCTGGAACAATGCTGGTCACTGCTCCATTGACGGAGAAGAATTATCTGATTTGGAGGACTTCGATGCTGACTGCTCTTGAGGCAAAGGTCAAAGTTGGTTTCATTGATGGATGCTATACTATGCCAGATCTCTCATCACCTGATTACCACAAGTGGAGACGTGTTAACAGTGTGGTGGTGTCCTGGATTAAGAATTCCAATTCGCCAGAGCTGGTCAACGATTTTACATTCATCACATATGCAAAGGGACTGTGGGATGAGATTTTTGAAAGGTATGGATCCTCTAATTCGGCATTATTATACCAATTGAAGAGGGAGATTGCCTTAGCTAGAACGGGATGTCAATTGTGCAATACTACAGTCATGTTAGGCAGCTGTGGGATCAATTAGAGCAATTAAGGCCTATTCCAGCCTGTCCAGAGGTTGTAAGACAGATTCTGTTGGATAGTGATGCAGAGGACAAGCTTATGCAGTTTCTCATGGGTGTTGGTGATGTATATAAGGCAGAAAAAAACCAGATCTTGATGATAGATCCGATTCCGTTTGTGAACAAAGTGTATGCCATGCTTTTGAAGGCAAAGAAACACAAGCAGCTGGCTAATTCGATTGTCTCTGTGACTGAGAATTACGCCATGATGGCTAAGGATCAGAAATTGAAGAAGGGAGGCAACTCGAAGGCATCAACAAAGAATGATAAGGCTTTACTCTTTTGTACTCACTGCCAGAAGACGGAACACCTGAAGGAGAACTGTTTCAAAATCAATGGGTATTCATACTGGTGGAAGCCTCCAAAAGGAAAAGGACAAGCAGCTCACAATTTTGAGGTAATGGATTCTCCACTGGATTCAATGGATCATGCCAATAAAGACTGGAATGCTGTGATTTCTAAAACAGTATAGAGAGAGATTGGTCGTTTTGTCAAAGGCAAATTTCCAATGGATGGAGTTTCAGGGGATCATGTTAACTATACACACTTCCAGGACTTTGTAGGTAGCACCATTTTCTCTTGCTTAAGTTCTGATCTTACTGATTATATAAGAAAAGGTGATTGGATATCAGATACAGGAGCCACTAGTCATATGTGTGCATTCTTAGAACTCTTAATTCAAGTTCATTTTGTGAATCGTTTTAATCCAATTTGTTTACCAGATGGTAGCATTAGATCAGTTCACTTTTATTGGTAATCATTAAATGGCAAGCAATTTAGTTCTTAAAAACTGTTTGTATGTACCATCTTTCAAACATAATTTGCTTTCTGTTCGCAAGTTAGCACAAGATTCACATATTTACTTCAAACCATTTGATGAATTTTGTCTGTTACAGGACCTATAGGACTAATAAAATTCTAGTTACTGGAAAAGTTGTCAGAGGTCTTTATATTTTAGACAAAACATCTTTCAGTGAAAAGGCTATCTAACAATCACAGATTCTATATGCTTATGCTGTTCATAGAGCTAAACAGTTTCATGTAGTAGGATCTACGAATAAAGATTGTTATAGAGCAGTATCTGTTGTTTCTTCAATTGTATGGCACTATAGATTAGGCCACCCATCTATAATGTAATAAAAGGGATAGGATATAATGTGAACCTTTCAGATGCTGGAAATGTTGCTAAACAATGTCAGATTTGTCCTTTATCAAAGCAAAGCAGGAATGTTTTTCCTTCTAGTTCCATTAAAAGTACAGCCATTTTCCCTTTATTTCACATTGATGTTTGGGGACCTTATAAACAAGCTTCTTTGAATGGATCTCAATTATTCTTAACCATAGTTGATGATTATAGTAGAAGTGTTTAGACTCACCTGTTTAAGCACAAAACAAAGGTTTATGAATCTTCTTGCAGCCTTCTTTGTTTTTGTGCAAAACCAGTTTCACTGTCAAGTGCAAAAGATAAGGACTGATAATGGAACTAAATTTCTCAATGATAAACTTCAATAGTTGTTATCCCAATTAGGCATAGTTCATCAGAGAACTTGTCCATATACACCACAGTAAAATGGCATTGTTGAAAGAAAATATCGCCATATTTGCAGGTTGCAAGGTCCTTACTTCTGCAATCTAATCTTTCAAAGCATTTTTGGGGGGAATCTATTCTTACTACCACTCACATTATAAATAGAATCCCTTCTCAGCTTTTGAGTTGGCAGTCTCCTTTTGAAGTTTTACACAAACACAAACCAGACATTTCATATTTCAGAGTATTTGGTTGCCTAGCATTTGCTATAGATCACAGTCCTAGTAAGGACAAGTTTAATGCTAGATCTCATAGAGGGGTTTTTGTGGGATATCCAGCAAATCAAAAAGGTTACAAAATCTTCTGCCCTTCTCTTCATAAAATGATCATTTCAAGGGATGTCATATTCCATGAGAATGTTTTTCCTTATCAGTCTCCAAAGGATTCTTCTTTACCTTTTCCTTGCATCAATCTTAATGATGATGTTTCAGATCATGAATCACTTGCTGGTACTTCTTCTTCTACTCCAAATACTAGTTACAGGAATGATCCATCTCATGATTCCAATAGTGATCATCAAACTTCAATTTCTATCTCTTCTGATCATCACCAACCTGATCCATCTCATAATACCTTTTTTGAACTTGATCCATCTCACAATATTTCTCCTCAGTCTTCTAACAATGACTCTCAACCAGCTCTTAGAAGATCTACAAGGGTCACTAAAACACCTATTTGGCTATCAGATTTTGTTAGACTTTCTTCTACTCATTGCTCCAATGTTTCTGATTGAACTTGTTTACCAACAGACTATGTTTTCTCTACTGCACATGTGCATTTTTCGGCCAACATATCTGACATTCAGGAACCTTGTACTTATAATCATTTCAGAACTGATGAGAAATGGTTAGAAGCAATGAGAGTTGAGTTGCAGGCCTTAGAAGACAATGACACTTGGGAGCTCACCAATTTACCTCTTGGAAAGAAGGCAGTGGGATGCAAATGGGTATAAAAGATCAAATGCAAGCCAGATGGTACTATAGATAGGTACAAAGCAAGGTTGGTTGCAAAG